CTAGAGCTTCCTAGGTTTTTAACGGTATGGCTGAAATCTGCCGGAATCAGTAGAGTCTGCGGGGGAAGTGGAAGAAGATGAATCTGTTCCCTTCGAGGTACTTAAGAGTTTGGACGGCAGGGCTGTTCACCAGCATGGCCAGAAACTTCTCTTGTTTCGCCTCCAGATGTCTCCAAAAGCTTGTAGAGTCAACCAAGATGGTACAGGCCATTCCGCTTTACAATGCTCAAGGTACGCTTCAGTCTCAGCCAGAGATTGCTGCCAGAGAAAGTCGCGGCGACACTTCAGCCATTGATTTCAGTATCGTTCTTTGAATACCTGGAAAAGATAGAGCTTTATTGTGCGAAGAAACACAACGGTCTGTCAGCGAGACGCCTGCAACCGAAACAAAGGTGAAGAAATGTGCAAGGCAGCCACCGGCAGCATTCCTCAAAAACCTGACAAACTCTTCTGACAGGCACCTCAACAAAGACTCCCATCGTTAGCTGCTACCAAAAACAGAGAAGTCAGAGAAAAAGGACGGCGAAACTGGAGTTTCAAAATAAAATCTGCTGTTTCCAGCTCGAACTTCCTGCCCGTCGAGAGGTCTTGCTGCAGCGGAGTAAGTCTTCAGTCAAAGCCATCATATCATGTTATTGTTCGCATGCATGGAAAGAAATCATGTTCTGGAAGAAAGAAGACAGGCACTAAAACAACATTTTAAAAACTTGTCAGTTCTCTGAAACTTTTCTCGCTGTTTACTAAGGTACCGATTCTGAGCCGGATACGGCTTGAGAGTGCTTTAGTTTCCCTGCCGGGGGGGACAAAAAGAGTCTTGTGTCTCACAGAACTTCTGAGATCGGATCCGCCGTGTTCGGTACTGATTACCTTACTGTGTGAAAAGAACTCTCGCTCGAAGAGTTGTCTGAGAACGTTTGTTGTCTTGAAAGCGTTCGATACCTGAGTGTTCAAACATGTTGACATGAAAGACGAAGTTGGAAACAACAAGAGAAACATGACACAAGCACGGTCTTAGAACAATAAGTTTCTCCACTTGCTTGTCGCTTTTGGAGGAATACTTTTCCGATGCAGCAGCTAGACTTTGTGGCGGCTCCGCTTTGGCCGAAGGCCTGCAGCCACCGAACAGCAGCAGTCACTTCCGGCAAGCCCAAACAAAAAGAGTGCAGTGCGAGTGCAGTGAGCATGTCTTCAGCTTTCGCTTTCACTAGCTTGTGTTGCTTCCACTTTACCTTAAGTCGCTCGCACGCTTTAGCCTTTGTGTTAGTTGCGTGGTGTAGGACTTACCATGAACGTGGAGGTTGTACTTGTTGCTGTTTTTGTCGTTGGTTCGGTTTCCGGAGTTTCCAAAATTGGACAGGCAGCAGAACGACAGCGAGTAAAAAGTATTGCCAGGTTGCGACAGCTATCCAGAATAATTGTTTTGTGAATTCAGGCAGCAGAAGCCTTGCTCCTGTTAATTTGGAAAGCTTCGTTTAATCGCGGACTCGATACACGTTGACTCGTCCAAAGGACAAGTCAGAAAGCAGGAAGAGAACCGCGTTTCCAGAATTGTTTGCATCGTGCTTCAATTTTCGCATGGAAACAGATTTTTTTACTCCCTTGTGTAACACCCAATTCATCTCGCGTTTCCTTCCATCTTCCCTGAGTTGGCATGTTCGGATTGCTCGATCGGGCTGCAAAGGAGACGTCTTCAGCGATGCCAAGTGGGTCTCGAAACTTTGAGACAATTTCTTAGTCTTGTAGGCCCGTGCCGGGCACGGTGTGCTCACCCGCCAGTTTGCAGTTGTGAAAAAGCTCCCCATGGAGAATTTGCCCACCAAACTTGTTTGACTTTGGGGTTGAGGCACCCCGGGAACCAGAGCATTTTGCATTTCGATTCTTTTTGAGTCGTCCATTGTTCCAATCCATTTGAGCTTGTTACATTTGTAATATGTGCAAGACTTTTCCGATGCTATTTTGTCATGCGGAATGGAAACTTGTCTTCTGTTCGGAGCAGCTGGCAGTGGTCGAACGAACTTCTTCGGATTTGCGTGTCTGCCGTGCTGCTGCAGTGTCACTACCCTTTTTCCGGTTTCAGTTTCTACAGTTCCAACAGCTTTTTTGGCTTGCTTACAGCTGTGAGTGGACATTGTAGCCAAACGCGCGCTGTCTGTTTGGATTTGTGACCGTGACGGTGGCCAGCAGGCGGAAGAGCATGATCACTATGAACATTTTAGCTCACCGGAGACTATTCAGTCTCGCATCGGACTCCGATTATGAGAGGGAGCAACCTCCCCAAGCCTCACCAGCCCAGCCCTGAAAAAGCACCTTTTGAGACATACAGCCCAAAGCTTTGCCAAACGTTTCGGCAACTGTGATGATGTTCTCACGGATCAGAACCCTACACCTCGATCCCACCCGACCAATCTGACCGAATGAACTTAACCACGCCAGTTTCCTTCCCTGTGCTTTTGGGCTCAGCCTGCAACATGCCACAAGTATTTCCACCCATGCAGCATGCATATAGTTGTGTTTCATCATGAGCTTGTCGGAATGTGTGAATGACATGCCGCTGAGCTACCCTCGGTTCCGTAGAGATTGAAAGCCATTTCCTTGCCATGATAAAAGCCATTTTGGTGTCGGCCTCGGCTTCATGCTCCTTTGACAGCCCTCTTCTAGATGACTCTGTTGTGGTAGCTCTTGTCGGCAAAGTCTCGCATGGATTTCCTTGAAGCAGCTGAGGTTGTCAACAATCAGGCCGGTTGCATGTGCATACGTGCTTCCAGTGTGTCTCATTCAGATGGCTTCAAGGTGGCACGTTCTGCTTTCGACGTACAATTGGCTGACGGACCGCTTTTGGCTCAAGCCGAGTGGCAGGAAAATGAAGCTGTTGAGCCAAGCTGTGGCAAACATCACCCGATGTTGCATCTTCAAGCGCATACCTGCTTCAGTACGTAACAGCGGTATGGGCTTGCATGTAGACCAGCTCCTCACGGTGCAGCATGACGCCGTGTTCTCAGGAACACGCACGCACCAACGCGTCAAGTATAGGTCAAGTGAACGTTGTCAAATGCGCGATGCGTAGGGTTGAACCTGGGCGGTCATTGTTCTAGATGTGCGAGGTCCTCGATGCCGAGCCGGGATATCTCAATGTCTCGGCTGGAGATCAGGTTCGGATTCTGTACATCGGAAGCGACGACAGGCAAGACGAGACCCTTTGCTGCAACATCAGCTTGTCAAGTAGACTGAAGCTCGATGTGCATCATATGAGTCGCAGAAAATCTTTTCATGCCAAGGCACGGCTGGGTCTTTGGTTCGACGCCACAGTGCAAAGGGTGGCTCAGCGTCCAGAACTTGAAGCTTGAACCAGAGGATGCTCGGCTGCACAAAACTTTGGATGGCTGTGATTGGCTTGATCTAAGAACCCGGCGCAAATCAGAATGTGTCTGGATTCGTTTCCGAGCGACACTGCGGAGAAACCACGCCAGGATGCGAGCGAAGCCATCATTGCCAAGCGAGGCGCACTTTCCAAAGGTGCTGGCTATTTGCGCATTCGCAAGGGGGAGCCGCTGATCATCAAACACGAAGAGAACGAGTGGCTGTTTGGTTGGTCGAATGAGCAGCAGCAACAAGGGTGGTTTCCTCGTCTGGTCCTAACCAAGCCAGCTCCTCCACCCGAGGAGGAGTGGGAAGCATTGCAAAACAAGCAGAAACCTCAGTGTGACCAGCTCGCAGCAAGTGCAGCTGCCAGCAACTTGGCTGCCGGGCAGACTTTCCTGATTCATGTAGGTCAAAAATCAAAAACTGTTTGGTAAATTACAGCTGCCCTCCAAGGTACGGAAGCTTTAGCAGGCCCTGAAAGTCTGCCCAGCTGGACAGTTGGCCGAAGAGCTCCAAAAGCACCATGGAATTATGCAATCATGGACAACAGGAGAAGATGCTGCGTGTCCAGATTCAGGTTTGGTTGTCACCAGAGTAGTTCACTTCTTCTGCCCGTGCTCGATGTGGTATCAAGCTGAGATTGAGATACAAGGTAGGCAAATAGTCGTAGTTATTTGGCCGATGCACGCCTGTACAGAATGATGGCTTTGCTGCTACCCACGGTGCAAACTAGCCAGCTGACGTATACAAGCTTCAGATGTTCCGGGTTAGATGTCGAGAGCTTCTGGTTCAAAGACATAATGAGAGAGAGAGAGAGAGAGAGATAGAGACTACTTCCGACGGGCCGCAAAGCCACGTATACCACCACAATTGGGCAGCCACCTGCACGCCACCTTTTTTGCTGCACGCCAGCCTGACACTCGGGTTTTTGACTAGGGAACCAAGTGCAATTCACCACATACCAGCCTAGAGCGCACTCAGTTTACTTTTCTGACACGGGGGGGCCGGTACTTGTTTTTCTGCACGGTTTGATGTTCCGTTGTTGCTTCCGAGAAGGCGCCCGCAAAGCTCAGACACACCTAACGGAGGGACTTCGCGAACCTTTTTGCAGCTTGTGTTCCTCACTCCAGCAGTACGTGGACCACCCCAGCACCGACATACTCCAAGGGATATGATTTTGTCTGGCGTTTCTACTAGTGGAATGGTCGTGCCCTCAGTTCGATGTACGTCGCAAACCACTGTTAACTACTGCCAAGGGGGAGGTTGCTGCAGGTACTGAGGATTGTGCCCGTTCGGGAGGGGGGCGTTTTGGCGCGGGTTGGCGAAGGCTAACCTGAACGCAACGGAAGGAAGGAAAGAAAGAACAGAGACAGAGGGAGGCATGAACATGTGCGCACAGCCATCACTAGTGCATCTCCGAAACTTCAGCCTCGAAGCCACGAAGCCACGAGTGCGGAGGCTAGGAAGAGGCAGAGACGGAGAGAGGGAAACGGGTTGGACAGCGAACTCTTTGAACAAGCTCCATCGCCACTATGGTCAAGATTAAGTGTGATGTTTATCAGTCTGGGCATCAGCCTCAGCACCAGCATGTGTCTTTGTAGATGCGTTTACCCATGTAAATATGTATGACTGCATGTGTACATAAATATGCAGATTTATTCGTGTTTACATGTATGTATGTACGTATGTATGTATGTATGTATGTATGCATGTATGTCTGTATGTATGTACCGACTCATACTTCATACTGACATGCAACATGTATGTATGTGGATATGTACATATGTGAGTGCTAATATGTGTTTGTTTGTTTGTTTATGCATACATACGTGCATGCATATGGTTACATATGCATTTGTTTATGTGCGTGCATAAACCTGCACATGTACAGATGTATGTATGTACCTTTGTGTATAGTCTGTATATTCATATATGCAATATGTTTATGCATGTTAGCATGTATATACATGTACGAATATATTCATACATATATATATATATATATATGTATGTTTTTGTATGTATGTTTCCATGTATCTATGTATCCATAATGCAAATGTTACGTATATACCACGGATATATTATGTATGTATAATGTCCATGTTATGTATGTATGTATGTATGTATGCATGAACGTATGAACGTTAACGTATGTATGTATGATTATGTATGTATGTATGTATGTATGTATGTATGTATGTATGTATGTGTGTCTGTATCATGTATACATACATGCCTTCTTGCCGACCTACCTACCTACGTACCTACCTACCTAGCTGCCCACCTGCCTACCTGCTTACCTACCTACATAAATGTATAGATACGTACATACTTACGTACATATACATCCTGATACAAACATACATATACAAGCATAATCAAACATATATACTTACATATGCATACAGATAAAGAAGCAGACAAATACATGCGTGAACATATACAGTTTTACGTCTAAGTAGAAACTTCCAGGCATATACATAGACATCAACAAATACACATACATGTATGTATGCTTACGTAATGAAGCAGTGTTCGTATTGTGCACGCAAAAGCAAGCCTTCACGATGGCACTTTCTGTATGTATATATATATATATGTATGCATGTATGTACATATAAACATACACACATACATATGTGCATGCAAACACACCATTGTCATATGTATCATGTATTTCAAAGTGCATGACATATATATATATATATACACATATTTTTAAACGTACATACATATGTATATATATATATACACATATGCATGCATATGTATGTTTGTATATGCAAATGTGCATTTTGATTGTTCACTGATATCATATACCGTGCATTTATGTATGGGTACACACATGCCATATACACTGTACATACATACATATATGATTACACATATATGTATGCACATATATATATACATAACACATATATATATATATATATATATTTTGGCCTCCCTACCCTATTTAACCTCCCTATCCCGGAAGTCTATTTTGTTATGGCGTTCCACCACCACAACGCAACATTCATCTACATGAAACCACAGGCCGCCGATTCTATTTCTTTACTTTGCCTCCCCGACTCACCTAAGTGACACATGTACTGCCTGCAAGGTCCTGAAGCATGAACATGTATCCTGTAATGCAGCGTTTCAAGGTGTCAAACGTTGGCGAAACAGTAAGACCGTTTCCTTAGCCGAGCCATGCTCAGATTGTTGCCACGAAATGCAGTTCACGCAAGCCTGGAATTCAGCTGTTGATGCAAGGTTTTTGCGGCTTCCTCCGCGCTGGGAAGGCCACATGGCAGCAGAGGGCTTCGACATCTTCTTTACCTTTGCATGCTAGCTGCTAATCGTGGTTGTCACTAACACTGCAGTTAACACGTGGCATTATTTGAGCTATTATTCTGTCTAAATTTGCGGCTAATGTGCCCCTTATAATTTTGACGGCTGCGCTGGCGGGAAACGGAATTTCAACAACTGCTGCCACTCGGTACACACTTTCGATTGCGGATTGGGGCTTGCTTGCTCGTATGGCATGCGTGTTTTGGGTGCCTGGCTTTGCTTTTGCCCCTCGGTAGGAAATGGTAGGAATCATGGGCAGGGCGCTGCCTGCAAATCACCCACAGATGCAATGATGCAATATGAGGCAAACGCTTAAATGCAATGGCCCAAACAGCTAGAATTTGAGGGCCTCGCATCAAAGACGGGAGTGACATCTAAGCCACGACCCGTGGATTGTTTGGCAAGTGGGAAATCTCGGATCACATTATTTGTATGACAGTTGTGGTGTTTTGACCCCTTACCCTCAGTATGTCTCTGCACGGCAGGGTGGGATCGATGCTGATACAGCCAAGCGCTGGGCAAATCTTGTCAAAGACGGTATTGAAGATGCTGGTGGTTGGGCGACTCAGCAGCATTTGTGAGTCATTTAAACATGTAGTCTGCAACATGTGCAGGGAGTACTTCAGAATCAACAGGCTCATTCTTGTCTTGCGGGTTTGCTGTGCAGGACCGGCCCCAAGGCAACCTCGGTACTATGTCGAGGTGTACGAAATGGTTGGTCCGCAGCGGCTGCACCTGCCCCTATCGATATGGAGGGGCCGTGCTCCATCAGAAAGATAACTATTCGTATGTCGGTAGAAAAGCAGACCTTCTGGAATCACATCTGCAGAAGCCTGTAGCATGTTGGAGTTGGAGCTGGTGTTTTTCCTCTGCGCGAGAAGTAAACGAGTTCTTGTGCTCATGCGACAGGTAGTGGATGCCACACCGTTTCCACCTTTTATGAACGAATTGATGGACGTGGTGATGCCGCTCTGTGGGTTCCCGAAGGACCGCTGCGCCGGCCACTGGATTGTGCCTGTCGATGCTTTCATGTCAGTCTCTCTGCTTCGAGGAGGAAGCGGAAGATTGGCCTAATAGCTGCAATGTCAACCTCTATGCTGATGGAACAGATTATCTGGACTGGCACGCAGATGCCGACTGCCAAGTTGTATGATTAATGTCCTGACGGAACACTCAACATGTCCAAGGGGAATGATGGTCGAATGCTAGTGCTTGCATGCACCGAGGACGAACCCTTGTTCGGCGGACGTCATGGCGATTGTTGCATAATTTCGCTGTCACTGGGGCAGGAGAGGATCTATATATATATATATATGTATATACAAATATATGTATGTATATATATATATATACATGTATATATGTATATATATATATATAGTCAATATATTCATGCGTGCTGAGGCCTTGGCTCGGAAGTGAAAAGAGAGAGCAGCCACAGCCGTCAGGAGCGGCCCTTCCAGTTGCGGCTGACCGACTGCGCAGATGCTGCTCAGCTTCGTAGGAGTGCAAGGACTTTCTTGTTGATCCTCTCTCGATTCCGCAGCGCCGCGAGTCTCAAGCACTACAAGGACGTCTGCACAGACTCCTCTAGGCCCAGCTCAGACTTGTTTCGACCAGAATGGGCACGGGTTGGTTTCGCGGATGCGGGATGTTGTCGGAGCTCCGCGGGATGTTGTCGGAGCTCTGGCAAAGCAGGACTCCAAGCTTATACCAAGTCAAGTAATTTCGCGCACGAAACCAGCAAGTCGGAGATTCGTCACGTATTGCTCTGATCACTGGCATGCTTGCGCAGGACTACAGGAAGTATCCCCATGCTTGTAGACCCCCACTGGCAGAAAGCTCTGCCGCTGTCTGCAGCCCTTCCGAGCACGATCTCCGATCGTCTTCCCGAACTTCTTGCGGTTTGGCGACTCCGCTCTGTGTGCAGCTCATGCCAGCATGAATAGAAGTCAGAAGATGTACAGTCATCGCGAAGGCAGTATCACATAGGTCATAGCATACTGTATGCAGCATACTGCTTATCCTTTTTGCGAACCATTAAATTTCAGTTGTGCCTCTTCATCCCGATGCCTTTTGTGGGGGTGACTGACTGGCTGTATGCCACAGCCCTGTACTTGTCACCAACAGGGAGTAAGCCCATCGCCTGGAAGCCAGGTAAAGCATGGCACCGCGCTACGATCCGGGCTTGCCTCTTGAGACAAGACAGATGGACGATCACGGAACTCGTGCGAGTATCATGCTCTTACTTTGAGGGTGGCGGCGCTGACTTCTTAGCCAGACGACTAGTCTTGGGTCCACGGCATAGCGACGATCCGATGGGAGGCGAGGCTCAGATGATCATGGTCAAAGGCAATACCGAAAGCCGAGAAGCTCCACACGAATTTGACCATTCAGACGGCAGCTATGTTTGTGAGATTCTGAACAACGAGAGGGCAGTCCTCAGGATACAGGTTTTGCGCAGAGAGCAACATGGAATGTCAAATCCTGAAGCGCACGAGGTCTCACTCGGGCAAGCCCTCTTTGCAACCACTTACTGCAAATGAGCAGTGTCGCAAGTCCAGAAACTGGACAGCACAGGGCGGCAGACTCAGCAACAACACTTCGGTGTAAAAGTTCGGCATGACTCATACCAGGCTCGTGTTGCATGTGATGGTGAGTCTGTCATCATTGCACGAGTGTATGTACTTTGTGTATGTACCTCACCTCAAGCAACGAAGTTGCATGTCAAGGTTTATTGTTGGTTCCTGCCTGCTTGTCTGTATGCATGTCTCAATGTATCGCAGTGTGTTCCTGCATTACGAAAGCATGCGTATGTGTGTATATATATACACATAGTAATTCAACAATATCTTTAACATGACACCCATAAATCCAGACACCCTGCATGTATATACATTGCATACATGATGTCGATATGTATGTTAACCCAGACTAAGCTGCTTAAAAGAGGCAAGTTTCAGTTCAGGGTTCATGACTCCAACATGCAGTATGTTTGCTGGGCATTGGATTCTCCAGGCAAAAGGCTCTCTGTCGCGGCCCACTCGAATCCTTTCCGGGCCGCCTTCCAAGAGCCGCAGTAGACAGCAAAGGGACTGCAAGGGACTCGTAACGTTGAGTGCACAATGACACTGTTATTGCGATCCTCGTAAACCCTTTCGAAGCTCGCAACATTCCCGATTCAACCCTCCATCACACTGGGATTTGAGCAGCAACCAAGCTTGAAGCTACACGGCCGACAATGTACAGTTTCCGTGAGGCTGACTCTTGCCGGCGCTGCCTTGTGTGCTTTCATTTGAGTTGGCAGCTAAGGCAAATCAAATTCATGAATTTCCGTTGGGGAGGGGGGCGCTCTGCACGATGGAAGGACGCACTCAGCAGCTTTTTGGAAGCATCTATAGAGTCCACTGCTCTAATGCCACCACGACTAAAGTCAAGATATCTGGCAGGTTCTACCAGCACCGGGTTCCCAAACGAGGAGGCATGCGGGACCCGGAACCCCACAGCAAGCAAGGCAATCCTTGGCAGTTTTGATGTGATCCACTCCACTCGACATGGACTTGACGGAAGAACTCGATTACTGTAAAGCTTCGGTCGGCGGCCAGTAAAGTACCAATCTTCGTGGGAATGGCTTGTCGATGGAATGGCTTGTCAAGGTCAGTCTGCGGCAGCACGCATCAACCTGACGTGGCGTTGGATAACGTCGCATGACAAGCGATGTTCGTTTCACAAGACCCAGCCATAGTGGAGGAAAAGCAGGATCTGTGGGCGGGTCCTGCTGCTTGTTACTCGTATGGTGCAGAGGGTGTGTAGCTTCATGTGCCCCAACGGCAGTGCCGTGCTTTCGGTGTGGCAGGGCAAGGCGAGACTTCTGCGTTTCTATTACGATGTTGCTATGGACAGGCCTCTCTCCGGGCTTTCATGAGATGAGGGAGAGGGGGTGGATACTATCTCTGAGTGTGATGAGGCAAAAGCACATCGTGCAGACAGTCTTCCGCTTAGGCCCTTCAGTATGCTTCGACATGTATGGCAAAGTATGCCGGACAGCTCTGCAAAAGACAGCGTTGTCCTGCCTGTCAGTCAGCACGAGAGTGGACGAGAACTGCTGCTGCTTTGTGGAGGAGCTTCTGTGAACTGTTGTGCAGAAGTTGTTGGACTCGCGCACATTAGAGAGTCTGGTTTTCGATCATCAGCACGTCCTCCTTTACCCTTGTTGCCTTCAGAGAGACTCTTCTTGATGTGTTTGGGTGCTTGACTCGCGCAGCTAGCACAGCTAGGACGAGTCCCTTTTCGGACCTGATCACAAGATCATATATAGGCGGCCGTGTGGGTTCTACTTGCGAGCACGCACCATGCCAGAACTTACGTTCTTCTGCACTGCTTGAATGAACTTTGGCTTGGCAGGCACTTCGCAACCCTGTATTTCGTCTTTATAGCGGACAGCGCTGAGAGCGAGCTCGGGGTGCTGGACCTGATCCAGGCAGAATTGCCTCGATCTTGCAGAGGGACATAAACCATCGGACTGAGTGATAGATCGCATGCCGGGATGCAGGACCTGCTAAGTTGTCTCATGTCGGTGGAGGTTTCATTGTTCAAAATAGCATCGTGATTATCAAGCTGGAGTCGGAGGTCTTCGTCCAAGTCCTCGATTCCTGTTTTGAAAATGTCTGTGAGCTGGACCTGATCTACCACTTCGACCGGGCCGGGAGCTCACACGATGCGCGAGCGAGGGTCGTCGTCCTTGGAAAAGCTCCTGTGCCCGGCTAGCAGTCAGGTGAACTACATCCTGGACGAAATAGTCATGGCAGGAATGGTGCTGGAGACCAACGCTGATCTTATCCTGACGGCCGTCAAGGTTCGCACGCATTTGTATCCGAAAGGATGCTTTCCCGTGTAGGCTTCCGGCATTTCATCATCATGTCATTGGCTATTGTCGTCTAGAATGATGGTCGAAACAGGAGACGAAGAAGCTGGAGCAGGAGGGGTCAACCTTTGGTTTCTGAATGCCCGCGCAGTGCCTGTGCCGGTGGAGAGCAGTGAGAGCCCGGACGGCTGCTAAAGATGCATGCGCACGGGAAAAAGAAATGCACCTGCTGCTGCTGACTGAAATTTTCGAATAGCTGCGTAGCTGCTGCAGCGCGAAAGGGCAGTGTGACAGCGACCTCACGTTGCTCCTGCAGAAGGGCTGAGCACGAGATTTGCCAGGATTTTCATGTTGCACTGGCACAGACTGTTGGAACGTTGGTAGCTACCAGGACGTCTGTTGCCATTAACCCAAAAGAGTAGCCGGATTGTGTCAACATGCAGCAGACTGTTGTAATAAAGACTCCAGGCTGCAATGCAGCCCTGATGCCCCTGCACTTGACCCAGGGCCACAATGCAGACCTGGTCAAGGGATCTTTGGTTGCGTTTTGATGGACGATGATTTCGACAGGTTTCTAGAAGCCTCGAACGATGACGAGGAGAGCTTTTTCCAGCCGACGTGGAATGCAGCTTCGGCTTCCAGCCGGGACATCCCGGGCCATGGCCGCTCGCCGGTGAGAGGAGGCAGTCCTTCATATCGTGGAAAGTATGCTGGTGCTGGTGGAGGATATCGTTCCAGCGATCCACTCGCCAGCATTGACCTCAGTTCATTGCCAATCCCGGAACGCACTGCTCCCAAAGCGAAAGTGAAGAGCACCGCTGCTGCATCTCGGGGTCGTGCGGAACCTTCTGCATCTCCAACGGTGCGCAGTGGCATTCGCCAATCCAGCGACCGTGCAACTACACCGTCAGCTAAGTCCGAGCCTGCCAAAACAAAGCCGTCTCCTACAGCCAACTCAGATTCGGAGAGCTCGGTGTCTCACGGTCACAGTGATGGCGATGCGACCGGCACAGGAGCGATGGCATCGATCTTCGCAAATTTTAAAGCAGAGATGGAACAGCAGCTGCGAGAATCTGCAGAGGAGCAGAAGCGGCAGGAGGAGGAAAGAGAAAGGAAAAGGAAGGAGGAGGAAGAAAAGAGGAGAAAGGAAACAGAGGAGGAAGAAAAGAGGAGAGAGGAAGCAGAGGAGGAGGAACAGAGGAGGAAAAAGGAAGTGGAGGAGGAAGAGAGGAGGAAAAAAGAAGCAGAAGAGCAAGAAAGGAAGAACAAGGAAGCAGAGGAAGGAGCCAGACGCAGACGAGAAATGGAGGAGGAAGCGAGAAAAACACACGAATCAGATCAGGAAGAGACAAGGAAGAAGGAAGCTGAGAAGGAAGAACTTAGACGGAAGGAAGAGGAAACAAGAAAGGAACGTGAAGTCGCAGAAGCAGAACTAGCGAGACTTAAGTTGGAGGACGAGCATAGGAAAGAGGCAGAAACCCGCAGACGTGCAGAGGAACTGGAAGCGAAGAGACTTCGCGAGGAGGATGAGCAAAGAAAGCGTGAGGCAGCCGAAGTTGCCGAAGCGGCGCGCAACATGGAAGAACTAAAACAGCGAGAGCTCGAGGAAGCACAAAGGAGCGCACGAGAGCAGAGGAGACAAGCAGAAGAACAAGAGGCGATGGAAACAAAGCGAAAGCTTGACGAGCGGAGGAGGATTGAATCTGAAGCACTGGACAGGAAAATGGATGAAGAACGGAACAGGAGTGAACGCATCCCAAGACCTCAGATTGAGATTGGACAAGTGTGCACAACAGCTGATGTGAAGGAAAATGCTGCCAAGCGAGCTGAAGATGCCAAAGATCATACGCAGGGAGCTTCCAAGGAGGCGATCGGAGACTGGAAGGAAGTTCGGCAGGTCCCACATCAAGTGCAGAATGCGATCTTTGACCTGGACATCAAAAGACAGGAGATTGCCGAGATGAAAGACTTGCGCACGAAGACGAGGGAGGACCAGTTTTACAACGAAGAGGCCAATTCATCGTTGCAGCTGTTGTGTGTGTGTGTGTGTGGTTGTGTGTGTTTGAGAGTGTCTGTATGTCACCATGATGAAGGCCGCCCACCGACTGGTCTTGTTATTTTTCTCCTTGCGTGCTTGGCCGCAGCCTCAACTGCAGTCGGTGAGTAAGTGTGAATCACTTGCGGTTGTAGGTCCGAGAATTGTGAAGGAGGCCGTCCTCGCCCTGGGTCGTTCGAATCACGTGTCAGCGACGGCCGTGGTGTTACGGCTGAGGTGTGCGCAAAGCTGGGGCGCCTGGTGCTTCAAGTCAGACGCAGGCGGCAACGCTAGTGTTAGAGGGCGGAGATGTCAAAACAAATATATATATATATATATATATGTAGATATAAATATGAATATAAATATATAAATATATATATATATATAAATATGAATAAATAAATTGTATATATATATATATAAATAGATATAAATATAAATATTAGATTGTATATATATATATATATGCATCTATATATATATGCATATATATATATATATACATATATATATATATATATGTACATATTATTTTGGACAGCACCGTCGGCGTTCATGACTTGTGCCAGGGAGCTGAGTGTGGCACAAGTTTCAAGCTAGCAAAGCGACTGTTCGACAGAATTCTTGAGTTTGGGGGAAGCTAGTGGTTTTTCGAGCTCAAGGCTTGCAATTGTCTCCGCCCTGGTATCGTCGCACTGTGTTATTGTCAGGTGTGCCGCAAGTTTGCAGAAAGTGCTGCAGTTGCACACGACTGGGCTCGGCGGTGGCCTCGGCCAATTCGTAATTTAGCACAGCAAGACTCTAGTGGATTTACTTTGGGCTTTCGGCCAGTTGAGCAATGAACCTGATCGTTGATACCAGAGAGATCAGCAGAGGTACGATGAATGCTACAGTCTGCTACAGATCCCCGAAGCGATTCCAGCAGGATCACATACAATAAGGCCAAATGCCGCCGTATGGACCGACAATCTGGCGACATCGTGGCCACGTCTAGCATCCGGTCGAGCAGTGATAGAAGCGCAAACAATGTAGCCAATCATCCACTTCTCGCTGACAAGATGACGAAGAGAAGGCTGCAATGTTCGAGTAGATGGAACCGTGCATGACTGCACAACCACAGACTGACCAAGGCCTCAGCTAGGAAGTCCCGCGATGCATCTTTCACTCTCGATTGAGAGAATTGCAGTTTACCGCCTATATAAACCGAACGACGCCTGCTGAAACGACGTGTGTTCGTGTGTGTGTGCACGCCTTTACATGGCGACCATTGAGTGAGACTGCAAGATTTGCTGCAGGGGGCACATGCCTTTCACCACCTGTACCTGCAATTTTCGGCCAGCCCAAAATGCCCTTAAAGCCGAACAGTGCAAGTGACACAGCATGATTGCCGCAATCTGTCGTCGTTTGGTCCTGTCGGTCGTCGCTCATCGCAGTTATTCGTGCCGAGCCAAAGTGTGTGAAGCTTTGCCCCACACCACCAGGAACATGCATCTGTGCGAATCACCCACGGGCCCATTCTCACTCATCAGTATCATTAGTTCAGTTGGTGCCATTCCTTGTGTCTGGCATGGCCGGACCGTCCCCAGGGATCATTCACCTGTTTGCTTGCGCCCTTCCTGGTGTCTGGCATATGGCATCCAGCAGCTCATGAACGGGTTTGTCAGCACAGTCCAAGTGTGTGGGTTGGCAGGGGTGGGGACGGGGTGCAAAACTGGTTGGGCTGTTGGGTTGCAGGTTGGGTGAGCGGGTGGCTGGGTCTATTCTATCCAAGTGTCAATGCTTCCTTGAAGTTCGGATTTTGAGGATGACGCAAGCGTTTGCTTGCTGGAGTCGCCTTTGTGCCAGCACGGCAAGTGCCGTGTTGGACCGCAAAGCACAGGACACCAGGGAAATGTGCCCTTTGTGGTAGCATATGATACTCTTTTTTTGAATTCGCATGCTTTTCTTGCTCCTTTATTATCTTCATTGTTTCGAACCAGGACCAACTTGCTGCAGCAGCTCAACAAGTTGCTGACACAACTTGCTCCTGAACTGATTTGCGGTAAATTCTGGTCTTGGTCTTGACTCATCTGGCAGCAGCTGCGTGCAAGTCCACGTTTCAGCATCCGAGGCAAGCAGTCCGTGCTATTGCAGCAAGTGGCTCACTTGGAGCGAGAGGTGGCGAAATTAAGCCAGGAAAGGGATACATTATCGGGAGACTTGGAAGCTTTGCTTCACAAGGGGCTGGGAGCCGGCCAACCGAACTCACAAGAGAAGACGTCCGATTTGCACGGTGGCCGTGGTGACCGAACTCAGAAGTTAGAAGCTGATCTCGATCTCGCTGAGAAGATGCTGCGTGCTTGCGAGAAGGAGAACGAAAATTTAGCAAATCAAAATCGCCAGCTTCGTCAAGGAGCTCGCTTACGGCGTGAAGAAGTCGATGGAAGGCAGTTGCAACTGGTTGCCGAGTTGAATGCAGCGAAGGCTAGTGCGGATGCCAATCCAGCCAGCATGGCCCGACTTGTGGACCTGGAGCGGGAGCTTGTGGCAGTCAAGGAAAGGGCTGACGAACACGCAAAGGAGCTGGAAAGGTGCAGAGAGGCAAAGCGACAACTTGAGCGGGAAATGATAACGGGACCGTTGCCAAAAGCTGCTCACAGTGAGGAGCTGGAACATGCCGAAGCAAAGCTTGTTCAAAGCCGGAGTGAGGTGTCAGAGCTGCAGGCTAAACTTCTTTTCTATGCCCAGGGACAGCAGGAGATGGAGGAAGACCGCAGACAAGTACTGCGCCTTGGCGAGGAGTTGCGAGCAGCCTTGGGCGAGAATGCAGAGCTGCGCAAGCGGCCGGCAAAAGAAGCCAGCAAAAAGATAGCAGAGCTTCGGAAACAAAACGAAGAGTTGCATGAGTGCCTCCGAAAGCGGCATCCCGACAGTCTCCTGGCTCTCATCAAAGCTTGCGAGCCGCCTCCTGAAGAAAAGCGCAAGCTAAGCGAACTGAAAGGCCGTGTCGTGGAACTTGAAGCTCAACTTGCAGAGCAGGATGCGTTGTACGATCGCCGCATCCGAGCACTCAGAGCGCAATACGACCATATGCGGCACGAGTATGAGCGACGTGCAGCCATAAATCGTGTGCCGTTGCCTGAGACAGAGGAGCCAAAGCGTGCAGCTCCCGACCGCGAGGCTATCCTCCAAGCCAGAATCAAAGACCTGGAACGGCAAGTTGAACACACGAAGTCTTACTATCTCAGCAAACTACGCAAAAGAGAGCCGCTAGTCCCATCGGGCAAGTCCAACAAGGCCACTGTGCCGACTAATCCCAGTGGACATGGAGCACATCACAATCAGGGAGGCGATGCTCGACAAGTCCAGCAACTCCAGCTGCAATTGCAAGCGCAAGAGGACCGCATAGCAGAGCTGACATCGGCATCGGCATCTTTGCGCAAGGAACCCTGCTCGATGGTCTTCCTCCGCCTGCTTTTGGCATCGCCAGAAGCACTAGCGCTTCTCGCGTTTTGCGTGATCCAGCGCTGGCTGCATACGGGCTCCGGAAACTCGGAGGAGGCTCTGGCGAGCTCGTTTTTCCCATGCATTTCTTCGAGTTTTCCTTCTCCTGGTCTAGGGAGGCTTCCGTGTGTCGTTTGGGCGTGTGGGATTTCTGGGTGCCGGTGCGTCTCCCCCCTGTCCCCCCGCTCTCCACCTTTTCCCCTCTCTCTCCCTCTCCCTCCCTCTCTCTCCCTGTCTCTGTTTCTGTCGCTGTCTCTATCGCTGTCTCTGTCTCTCTGTCTCTCTGTCTCTCTATCTCTATCTCTCCGTCTCTCCGTCTCTCTGTCTCTCCGTCTCTCCGTCTCTCTGTCTCTCCGTCTCTCTTTCTTTCTCTCTCTCTCTCTCTCTCGCTATCTCTCTCTCTCTCTCTGTCTCCCTCGCTCGCTCTTATTGGGTTCATTCTTCCACTTTGTATATGTACACTCGGCCTGCGAAATCACAGCTGAAGGCCTTGGATGCCGTCTCTGTTTTTGCTCTGTTGTTCCCATCAAACGCTCCGAGCCTTGTGATATCGTTTCCGAAAGGTTCCGGGTTTGTGCGTGTCTCCGTGTGTGCGTGTATGTGTATGATGGTTTGTGTGGCCACAGGACCTGCTTGCAGTTGCGATCGAAAGCTGTGTAGAGAATGACGACGTGCTGGCTAGTCAGCCAGTTCCATTACTGCCGCAGTAGGAGGCAGATGACAGCTTGGAGGTACGGAAGCAAATCCTGCAAGACGCAGAGGCCCAAGCAGGTTTGGACCACAGACTTCCTTGGAGTCAGCTCCTGGTCAGAGCCTGAGCTCTCCGTGTCACAAATAAGCACGTATCCTGTTTGACACTTCTCGAGGTTCCTAGCCCTAGATGGACCTTTCGCTCTTTCCAGGCTGTGCTTGGCCGTGCTGGAGTACCTCCTGGTTTGCTGGATTCGCCGCGGCCAAAGTGCGATGTTGCAGTGTGGTTGAAGACATTGCCCTCGGATCCTAGCACATCATCGGGTGTGCTTGTGGGGCGCTGCTCCTCAGTGCGTCTCAGCATGTCTAGAACATCTTCCCTTGTTCTTCGTTGCACTGCTGCTCAAGAGCTGCAGCCATTTCCCGGCAATTCGCTCGTTGTTCTCAAATTACATGTGTCTCGCCAGCACCGCCAGTGGCAGGGAAGCATTGGCTACCCCTGCGTTGCAAGTTATCAACCGTGATGGAGCTATGACGGTAGCAGGTACCTGCTCTTCAGACCTGAGGATCCGTCCAAGATTCTGCTGCGTGGCGGCCGTGGTTCTGCCGCTGTGCCATGCGGCAGGCGAAAGCATGTGCCGTGCAACATTTGGCGTTCCTGCCACATCCTGCCGCTTTGCAAGGTTCCGAGACCAGACGTCATCAGCCACTACGAGAGAACAGAAGTTGTTGCATCAAGAGCTTTTGCTGGCATCAAGCACAGTGATTCCTCCGACAAATCGTGGAAGATCGAGGATGGTGATATCATCTTCTGGTATGAGCGATGTGGATGCCGTGCAACAAGTGGTGATGCGGCGGGAGGCGGGCTGTTTGCCAATTCTGCCGCATGTTGGTTCGGCTCTGTACCGTGCAGCTGCTTACGGGAAAGCGACACCTCGGACGAATGATGAGCTTGCTCAATCATCGCTTCGGTGCTTAGGCTGGCGCCAAGGCTCATGGCGTTGATGCAGCTTTGGAGGATGTGGACCTTTCAGTGAATCGCTGGCAATCTCGATATGTCGCCATTCGGTGCGTTCTTTTTCGAGAATTTTCTTGCTGCTGCATCTCTCCGACCTTGCCCGTTGGAAACCAAGGCAGATGCAGCCAAGTTTGATGTCCGTTTCGGCATCAAAGAAGACAACAAAGCCACTCAAGCGATTTCGATACTTCAGCATGTCGTGATGTCTTTCCTTACTGCATACAGCATTTGCTGTACACTTCTTGCTTTGAACTTGCAACCGTTTTCAGATTCGCTAAGGCTCGAAAGACCCAAAATGATTGCACAGGCCTCAAGGAAGCCAGCGAATGCACTAATAGCGACTCCTCGCAGCAATTGGTATTTCACTAGATGAACTGGTGACATGAAGCAGCTGGCCTGGTGAGGGAGGGAGTAGTCTCTGTCAGTGTGTCAGGAAGTGCAGCAGAGTGCTGCGGCCTGCGAAAGCCACAAGGCCCCGCGAGGCCTGGGCCTGCTCTGGGCCTGCTCTGGGCCTGCCTTGGACGGTTTTGTTCTGTCCGAAGACCAGGACCCCAGTTCTATCGATGTACGTGGAAGAAATCTGTGCGCGGCTCAAGTTCTTCAACGGCGAAAGTGTGTCATTCGATTCTCTGGTTGCTCAGGAGCCGAATCATGGCGATGAACCTGCCGTGCCAGCAGAATGCTACTTGGACGAGAAGGCGGGGCGGAGCAGATCTCTCCCACCAGCTTGAGAGCTGCAGGAGTGCAAATTGAGAAACAGATGTAGCAAAAGAGAGGTTCTGCAAGGGCCGAGTACATGAGATGTAACATGATGTAACCATCTCTCTTCTCCCGATCTGTCCGCACAAGCTTGATAGCATGATTCCCTGCAGGCTGGACCTTGCAGCACATGGGGAGACACTTCATCTACGTCGGAGTAGAAGAATGTCACCACAAAAAATGGGCCTTAGTGCTTGGCCAAGCAGAAAAGCACGGCGAGCTTGCGCAAGTAGTCGCTCTGCATCCGAGGGCTGCTTGCACATGAACATAATTTGTGTGCCACACACATTTCTAAGCCTTAAATGTCGGCTCAAGCATGGTTGTGCGCACGACCTCTGCAGAAAGTTGTTTGCGAAGTATCTCATCAATCCTTTCTCTCCTGGAGCGAATTACTGCTGAGTGTGGTGACCTGTCTGTTGTACCATACTTTGTGCCGCTCAAGTAGTTTGACTGAACTTCAACGGCCCAGGTTGGAATGTCACGTTTTGCCTTGCTTCTGGGAGTTGCGCTGTTTGAGAGCTCGGGCCTTGTGTTTCCCTTGCGTGTTCCTTTTTGTTTTGCAGATTCAGCTCGTCCCAAGGCACTCTTGCAAAGCATGTCGGCCAACAAAGGAGAGTTCGTAAACTGGCCACTGCGCAGTGGCATCGGTGTTGCACGGATGGAAAAGACATGGCTGTGGAACACGCGAGGATAGTAGTGGAGGCAAATGGTGTTGAAGCCGACACTGGTACTTCTCTGCTCAGACGGGAGGCGGGCAGAAGACGTCCACAAGCGCAGCTCTGTGTTGCTTCAGTGACTTTCTGCATGAAAGCTTGTACTTGTACTTCCTGCAGATTACGCAGTGCAAAATCTGACTCAGCAAGTCAGCGTGCATCAACTTATGCAGAACACGGGCTTGGCCCGTACTCTGCAGCATTGCGTGATAGTTTCAAGCGAGCTGCGTGTTTGCTTGTGCAGGCAGAGCTCCTGCGGTTGGACGAAGGTGCGGATGCATGGTCTTGCCGCAACTTTTCGAAGCGCAAGTGAGCCCAATTTGACACATTGCTACAAGTCTCTCTTGTACACGCATTGCATCATACAGTTCTCTCTCTTAAAAAGGAATTACACGAACACAAAACATGAAGTTAGATGCATCTCTCGTCCCCAATACCTGTCAATACATTTGTAGGTACACAGATATTGGTCGATTGTCGTGCATAGAGGGCGTGCGTGCAAGCACAAAGCAGCACAACATTTACTTTAGACGCCGGTCGCCTACCCTCGTGCGTGTTCTGCCCGGAACGTCCCGCGCTGCGCACCCTGCTTCTCTGGACGCCGTTGCGCTGAAGTGCACAGCGAGGGACTGGTGTAGGTGAGCTACAGCGATTGCAATGCATGTCCTTGAGTGAATGCATGACATGTCACACTGCTGTCTTGCCTAGTGTGAAGTGAATGCAGCACTTGTGCTTGTCATGACTGCATGTGCAATGTTGGTGTTGCCATGAAAGCCCAAAACAAAAGAAAGAGAGTGTGAGAGAATGAGAGTGTTTCCCTCGACCGTCGAAATGCTTTCGAATGTAGGATGTCCGTTCCGGTTTCGAGGGGACTGCCGGAATGCGGTATGTGCCGACTGCTTTCCACTAGGCCGAGCCCGAAACTCCGAACGCAGATTGGAGGTTTTGCCGAATGTCTGGCGGAACTGTGGCGAATGTTTGGCGAAACCTTGGCGAAACTTTGGCGATTGTTCGGCCCATGTGGCGATTGCCAGGCGATTGTCTAGCGAAGCTCCGGCGATTGTCTGGCGATTGTTTGGTGAAAGTCCGTCGAATGTCTTGTCGAGTGACTGCAAGTGATCGGAGTGCCCTTGCAATTGCGATGGTTTTTCATTGTGAAGTTTATGTTGACATGTTGAATGTCTTTCCTCTCTGGATTGCAGAGAATGAAGTTCTTGGATTCAAGATGAATGTAGCATGAACCGACTGTCTGCAAGCGTGCAATGTACAGATGCATATCGGTCTCCAGACTGTTAATAGTCAAGACTGGAATGCTTTTGACGAGTCGAGCCAAAATGACCAGAATGAGGCCATGTCTTGCCGCATCTTTGATTGCTACTGCTTCGAATGTTCGCTGATCGCTTCGCGAATGATGCTGTGTATTTGTTTGTTGCATCAATGTTTGAATGGTTCTCGACTGAAGTCGGAACCAAGGGATTGTGTTAAATGACACGAGCCCAACGTACCCCTGAATGAACATGATGCATTATCGAATGCTAAAATGCCGACTGGCATTTGGCTCAAGACTGGACATGACTGGCTTTGTTGCATAAAGGAATGCGTGATCGGTCTTGTGTGATTGGGGAAAGGGATTGATCTCCTCACCAACGACTAATTAATTAACTAGCTAAACTAAACTAAACTGAACTAGACTATACTAACTACGTGAGTATTAACCAACCAGCTAGCCGGCCGACCGACCGACCGTCCGACGCACCAACCACCCGCCCAACCAGCCCCAGCCAGCCTGTCAGCCAGCCAGCCAACCAACCAACCCGACCTGCTAGTTAGTTGGCTAGCTAGCTAGCTAGCTAGCTAGCTAGCCAGCTAACCGATTACCTAACTAATCAATGTGCTGAGAAGGCATACACTAACAGGCAACAGCGCGCGAACCAGGCTGTTTGCTCCCTCGCCCGCGGATGTCTCAACACGTTGCATCTTGAGTTGATGCTCTTTCTGGCATGGCGAGGGATTTCCTCATTACCTTAGCTTTTCCACAAGTTTACCAGCTCGTTTCTTTCATTGCACAGCGATGCGATCAAGCCGATGTTTCGTCAGGCAATCGATACTGCCTTCCGAATCGTTTGTTATAGCCAAGAATGGTGGCATGGCACGATCCTAGCATGTGTATCACCAAAACTGCAAAGGACGGGATTTTGGCCTCGAAAATGCAGGCTGCGGTGCCGGGCCGATTATTCGACCCACTAGCTTCAACAACGAAGTCGAGCCATGCCCCCACCCTTTTCCCCTCAGGCTTCTGACACAAGTGAGCTTTGGGGCCACCGCAATGAATTACTCCGCTAGCCGGCGTAAGAAATTCGTCTCTTTCAATGATTCTGCTACTCCGCAAGAGTCTATAAGGCCCGGTAGCTTAAAACTTACGGCCCGGGGGTGTATACCAGCATCCCGTTGCCTGGTCTTGGTTACAGCTTGAGGAGCTGATCAAGGGCAAGCAGTCCGAGCTGACTGTACCGGATGCTTCATTGCATTAGAGATTCGACCAGTGCATATTTAGCATGAGCTGGTTGCGTTTTGTCAGGTCTTCTGATGGCCTTCAGTTGTGATGAACACAAGACCGCGGCGGTCTGTGAGAGCCACAAAGTGAACTCCGGTGCCTGCCCTTGCAAGAATGGCACTTGTTGTCATGTTTTCGCGCTTTGCAGTCGTAGGCAGAGGGTTGTACTCGTCCAAGGTTCCAACCTAGACGGGGTGGATGGCTGAAAAGCCTTTTAGTCTTGCTCCTGCTCGGTCTAACCAAGCACATTTTCATGCGCAGAAACCCTGCAGAGCTTCAGAGAAGGTTGTGGCTGATGCAGTGCAAGGGACAGTCCAGTGTAAGGATCCGATGCATTCAGATGCAGCTGGAAGCCGTCAGTGCCTGCCGGGGACAACCCAGCAGTGCCGGCGAATTGCACCCTGAATGCAGCTATCACGAGGGTTGATTCCTTGTGCTATTGAGACTCGCTTCGCAATGCATTTCGCTTCTGCTTGAGGCTTCGTCGATCTTGCAGCGGGCTCCTGCGGAATCACCAACTCCACTGGGCCGGCACTCTAATCTGAAAGACTCTGTCTGAATCCGCCGCGAGAAAAGGCGCGGGATTGCACTGATTGCACATTGCCCGAAGGACGGTTGAAGCGTCGTTCGTTCTGCAAGCTTCTTTTGGGATGTTCGCGACCTGGCTCTGAGGTGTTGCCAGGCAGCTCCGCTTGACTTCGCTGTCTCTTTGGAAGAGTTCGGGCAGCTGCTGCAAGGTCAGGCAGTTCAGTCGGGAAGTTGGGCCAGTGGCCAGTCACGCTGGAGGCGCTCCTGTCGGAGAAGTCTCGCCGGTCGCCTGAAGCCAAGATGAGCATATCGAACAGGAGATCAGGTTGCGCCAGGCTGAGGTTGTGTCTGAAAGTCTTTTTGCCACATGCTCGACCTTCCGAAAAGAGAAAGTAGCAATCGGGTCCAGACAGACCTGCAGCGCTTGGAAGTGAGTCTGCAAGCCTAGGGCTAGCTGAGGTAGATGTCTCCAAGGTGGGCCTCCCGCGCTCTTGGCCCCTGGCCTGGGCCCCTTAGCTCTTGATGGATCTCTGCCGCAGGCCTTGGCCCGGCTGAGGCTCTCCGCCAGGCGAGGTCGATTGGGGCTCTGCGCTTCTGCCTCTGCCTCGCCATGCCTCGCCATGCCTCGCCATGCCTCGCCTGCAGGGACAGCCCGACTGCAGCAATCCATCGGCTGGATAGCACCGCAAGTGGTTTCGTGCGGAGAGGCTGGATGTGACACCCAGTCCGGTGAAGTATAACCCCAGACCATGCATACATATGCATACATTTGATTGCAGTTGCTGTGCATGCTTCTTGCCAGGCGAGTTCACGGATGCTTTGCATGCCCTCCCGTGTGCTTTCTCAGCGGAAGAGAGGCAGGCTCTGGTGCATCCAAGCTGTTGGCAGTGAAGTGGCGGGTGATATCACTGTGCCCTGCCAGGCATCAGGTTGCCTCCCTCTTTGCTCCGCCAGGTTGGGATGACCAGTCAGCACGAGTTGCATGAAGGTGCACACGTATAACTTGTGCGCTGCCACAAGCCCACCACCGGCTTCAAGGTGATTTGCAGTGGGTGTGCTACCCTTTGTTTCTTCAGTTCCTTGCTGATTCCGACGAGGCCGCTTGCATCGGATGCAGGCTTCCTCTGAAATGCTCGGAACTGCATCTTCTCGTCGGCTCCAGACAGGCGTTTCAACACGGCACGGGCAAGAGTCACAGAGAGTCACAGAGAGTCACAGAGAGTCACAGAGAGTCACAGAGAGTCACAGAGTCCAAATTGAGCAGATGGAGTGACATGGCTCGAGACGCGAAGCGACCCCTGGGCTGGCGCACCTGGCGAGCTCGTGCTCAGGTGGGAAGTTGCAAAGTTCGCGTTAGGTCAGGAGTAGCCGCGAGTAGCCCCTGAGCCGTCCCGGCCCAGAGGGCCCCCGGGCGATCGGTTTCTTGTCATAACGGGGTCCTGAATGGAGTTCCGGAAAGGGAAGGCGAGTTGTGGCGGGGCTTCAGACCGACAAAAGAACTGTCTCTGAGTCCCACATGCCAAAGACTGTACCCACAATCATGTGACCTTGCCCTCCTGGACAATTCCTATCGTGTTAATTCGCCGGGAAGGCTCAATGGAGAAAGCTTCACGGTACAATGCTCTTGACACCTCATGTCTTCAGGCATCACCGGGAGGGCATTTGCTTACTCTTACGTGTTGCTAGGATGCCGCCAATCATGTAATGACCCGGCTAATACATGAAGACTTCCTAAATGCCGAACAAGTTGCTTGCATGACATGGCAGCGCCGGGACGTGTTGATGACATTTGACCAATTTGATACGGGCGCGGATGACAATCAGCACAACAACTATACAACTATTGATTGTAGGAGTGACTGATGCACATTGCACACCCTTTCGTGCTATTTGTATCCTTCTGAAGTTGTGGCCTGTTATGCCAACCACAACTACGTGCAGAAAATCAGGGTTTGCCTGCAGGCTTTTCGTGAATCTATTTCTGCAAACTGGATACTTATCGTGCAGAACAGAGCTACATTGTTCGCTGTAGATGAGTGTAGGCGGAAAAAGGTTCTGAAAGAATCTGTCGCCGTGACCGAAGCGGCATCCCTGCCCTGAGACTCTCAGAGGTCGCGCACGGACATGAAGCTTGGGATGACAAATGCTGGAGGACAACAGCTAAAGCTAAAGGGTCTCTTCAGCGTGGCACCGTCTTCTGCGCTCACGTGGAAGACCCGCTCGAGACTGGGCTGCATCTGATGAACTGTTTTTCGATTCGAGGGGAACCTATCGGCCGTCTTTGGCCTGTCTGCATCCGCTTCTGCGCAGAACCCCACGTTTCTGGAGTCAAGGCCTGGCAGCGGACGGGATTGTCGCTCGGCAAGCGGTTTTCTCAGGTCTGCGGTCTGAATACAAGGAAACGATCGATCACAGACGAAGGAGAAAAGGGTCGCAAAGAACATTCTATAATCAGATTATCGTCTAGATGATCGATCCTCTGCAGAAAGGGGCCTTTTGGTGCTGGATCCGGTAATACCCTGGTACTGCACAGCTCATACAGCTCACTAGCCCAGAGATTCAACCTTGTGTTTCCATGTTGGCGGTGTTGTGGATTCTGTGAGTGTGATGCAGGTACAAATACTTAGTAGTGGCCTGGGATCAGAGGAAAGACGTGTACGAGGCCAGACGGTGGTACCTGCTGCGGGTCCTCAGTTTCTGCGGACACTTCGGCTTCAAGCAGCAGGGCAGACATGTATGTGCGGCATGCTCGAGCAGTAATGAAATCTAGATTTTTGAGATACACGAGCTGTAGGGATGGGGCTGAAAGAAGAGCGCCGAACTTACGTCCGTGTGTCATCTGACGTCGCCGCCCAAGGCCTGCTGTACTTAGATCCATACCGTTTTTGATTCTGAGTGTGCAGCGTTGACACAGTTTGTTCGTGCCAAAATGCTCTCTTGAGCCGTTTTTTTTGTTTGTGCCGCCGCATCTCGCCTACTGCCCTGTGTCTTACTGCGACCTCCTTGATCATAGGATTATTTTTAAGATCTCCCGGCTGTTGGAGTACTAGCGCAGCATGATCAGAGCACGACGAGATTTGAAGCTTTCGCGGCGTGTGTTGCACAGGCCTGGGAGGCATCTGGCCTTCATACCAGATTCTTCTCAGAAGATGAAGTCTCAGCTGGAGTGCCATGACTGCTACGGGCTAGGTGCTCGTTTCAGCTTCTCGTCATAGAGCTGCTGTGCCCAGGTGGCGCTCTTGGAGGATATTCGACAGAAAGAGGCGCAAACGGACCTGCAAACATTGGTTACTGCAAGTTGTGTTGAAAGTGGCCCGGCAAATGATTTAGATTATTCCAACATTGAGAACTGGGTACCTCAAGTCGGTCAGAAAATCGAAGATTGCAGGCAAATTGGAACCCCTAAGCCGCTTGTCGAGGACATGCGCAGCTGGTGGACAGATGGTGATCTTCCACCTTTGCCTCCGTTCGAACTCTGTGTTTCGGCTGATGAAGCATTTTTCTGCCTTGCTAGGAGTTGTGTGCCCCACTCCATGGCGAATAGGTTTATGACTCCTCGACTGGCTTTGTGGCAGGTGGAGGCTCGGTGGGCAGTGCTCGGTGGCGTGGTCCAGGTGCGGTTTCCAGAAGTGCCTTTGTCTTTGGACTGCTGCACATGTGCAATCTCTGCAACAGCAGTGGAGCTTGACGGTTGAGCTAGTTGCATGTTGGTGCCAAAGTGTTCCGTGCACTACACAGACGGTTGTTCTGTGCGGTTTGCCAGGTCGGGACATTGTATTTCCACCCCGAGTTTCTGGTTACAAGCCGTATGGAACGCTGGAGCACCTCGGAACATCTTGAGAGTTTCCTGTTCTGTGCGCATGTTGTCCCCTTCAGTTGATGTGCAGGCTTGCTGGGCCGCTCCTTTTTTATCTACATTCGAGGCAGGGCACCGGGGTTACAACAAACTGTAAGGGTGTCTTTTCTGCAAAGGCTCAGGACGTGACGGAATTCTATTGTATTTGGTTCTGTGACGTTGACTTGGGTGTTGTTCTGGCCTCTTTGCACGTCGAACTTCGGAAAACCCCGCGTTTGCACTGAGAGAAGCGTACCACTGGTGACGACAATGCTTTTTGAGCTTTGTTCCCCTTTGCGCATAAGTCTCGTACTGGACGAGGGAGGCCTTTATGAGGTCCTTACTTTTAAACTCTTCGCGTCGTCCGCCTCGGCCCGGCTGTACTTGAAGCAGGTGATAGCAGGTGCATTGCTTCGGAAAGTCACAGGTACAAGCAGGTCACACAGGTCAGGTCTTGTGAAGGAGTGCATTTGCTTCAGACTGTGTTAATGTCAGTATTTGTTTTCATGCTCAGGCTCTCAGCAATCCCACGCGAAAGGTGGCACATTCCCTGCATTATCATATATAAGTTCCTATAAAAACCGTATTACACTTCTCGCTACAACCTCTCATATGTTGGAAAGGGAATGGGGAATCAAGCTTTGCAACAAAGTACAGAACACAGCCGCAGAATTCCCAGGCTTTGGCATTAGCCTGTCTTTCTTCGCCCGCCGCAAGGAAAAAGGGAGCGGGAAGGGGGGGGGCGGGGGTGGGGGCGGGCCCTTGCCAACCCTAAATCCAGTTTTACGGGGGGCCGGGCGGAGAGGGGGGATGGGTCACTGGGGAGGGGATTAAGAGGCGGGAAACAGGGATCACCGCCAGAGGGCTTTCAATCCTTAGAGAACGCACCACGTGGCTCCGAGGCGTCTCAAGGACGAGGGCTTCAAAGATGTGGTCGACATAGGAGCAGGCCATGGCCGCACCGCTGCCTGGCTCACCAACGCCTGGGGCTTCCAGGCGAAATGTTGAAATGCCCAGTAGATCATCCAGCTGACGACTTCTGCACCTTACACTTGTGCCGAGAAGGTCCGGGCTTTCGACGTCATTTTCCCCGAAAGCCCAGAGTTCAATGTGGAGATGTTCGATGGTCGACAGCTTCCGTTGGAGAGCAAGAGTGTTGACTGTGCTCTGGCGTGGTTGGCTTGTCTATACTTGTATATCATGGTGAATCATGGTGCGAGCATGCAACAACCAGCTTTGGGTGAAGTTCTCTTTGCTTTAGCTGTTCTCAGGTGCTCTTTTTTCATTCGTGCTCCATCATTGCCGGCACTTCGAACTGCAGAGGGCCCTGCTTCAGGAGGTGAGGAACGTGCATGAACCCATCGGCTGGCAATGAACAGCTCTTGCGGAGGCGGCACGCGTGTCCAGAAGCTGGATAGCCGTCTGTGAAGACACCCCAGAGGAACCCATCCACTGGAAGGGAACTCGAGGCCTCACGGTTACATGGGTTCCGGAAAATGCGTTTCGTACCCAATATGTGTTGTCTTGGCAGGACACGACCATCTGGGCCAGTTTAACTCAGCCACCGACTGGATGAAGATGTTCAACAAGATAGGACTCAAGCTATTGCGCCGGGGACAACTCTGGCAAGGTCCGCGGAAAGGTCCAAGCCCTTACTTCTGCGCAAGATCTTTCTTCATTCTCGAGGCGGGTTCTCTTTCGAATGACCTTCTGCGATGCAAACTATATCAACCTTGTCGCGAGGTGCCTGCTGACCTTTGTGCCGCCCTTGGATTTGAGTTGACCTTCTGCCGTGTTCACGTCGTCTGATGAACTCACACTTCCCCGAACCCGGAGGGCATGAGCATGGACTCGATGGTGCGGTTTCCTCACCATGTCCTAGGGACTCAGGTCCGCTGCCAGCAACAGGGCCAGTCGGTCTTTCTGGATGCGGCTGTTTGCCCGCGAGAGGGGCAACTGCGGAGCAGAGGGTACTGACAGATGATGAGCGTCGAGGAGTGCGTGCTTATTGGGGAGGAGTGTTGCAGCCAGGTCTCTGGGCTGCGGTGGGTTGCAGCGGCATGTGTTTTTCGTAGGTGCGACAGTCCCCCAGCTCAGATAACGTGTCGGCATTTTGCACTTGTTTGAGAGGAAAGTACGAGCAATTTACCAATGTCGTTTTCGAAAGGTTCGAGCATCGTGTGATTCTCGCAGGAACATGCAACCCTTAACCCTAAGTCCTCAACATCCCTAAGCCCCAAGCCTTGAACCCAAGGATTAGGCTGTAAACCTTAATGGCGGGTAAGGATGCTGAAAGAAGCGGGTCCGAATGAAAGCCTCGGGGATGGAGGCTGCGAGTCAGACCCTCGCAGAATCTGTTGGGGTTCTCAAGGGCGGCCAGGTTTTGGTCTGGACCAGCCACTCCGGATTCAGCGAAAGTTGGCATTCAAACTACTGCAGACATTAGGCTGCCTGTTGGCTGTTCTACACTTCCTTTTTCGATTTCCTCTGCCTGCATCCATGCCTAGCCCTTGGTCTTCTTCCCCCCACTCGCTCGCTTGCTAAAGTCTCTCCACCTGTGCGGTGGTTCTCTCTGTTGAACATGCGTTACCTTCGACTAAATCATTGCCATCTAGAGTTGATAATGCTGTCACGAGTTACTTTGCCTTTGCTATATTGCCCCTTACCTTCAAATTTATTGTGCCTTGCTTCGTTTCGACTTATATTTGACGTGTGGACACTGTTGTCGAATGCGTTGAGAAGGGTTGTTCCTGTAAGTTGCTCTCTGGTCTTCTCTCTTGTGCTCCTCCTCCTCCCCCTGCTCGTCATGTGGTCTTCTCTCTCCCAGTCAACAAAGCCGTGGCTAGGCTGGATCTGGTGCAAGTGCAAGCAGTCCACAAGCCAGAAAGTAGTTGTTTCTCTGCGCAGCAGTTACGCAGATGTACACTCTGCAGTGCAGGATTGCTCAAAGCAGCCATGGAAGACGACCCTGTTGGAGCTGAGCTTCTGATGCAGGTAGCTGTTTTGGCTTAGACATGTGAGCGTCGCATTCTTGTCGGTTCATGTTTTCGCCACCAAGGAGATCATTGGAAACATCAAGGCTTCTCGGTTTTGCATGATGGATGGCGTGACCAGCTGCTGTTAGTAGATGTTAGTAGGATGGACTTGGCAAGGATCGCTGGCTCAGCTGTGCTCAAGATGGAAGTGCGGACCGACGGCAAAATGACTGTGTTGGACAGCAGGAGAAGTGTACACAGTGTGCATTCAAATGGGCCCAAAGGAAACGATCTTCTCGACTTTCTCGCAGCTGAAGCTGCCTTCCAGAGTGCAGCGCAACCTTCAGCTCCAAGGCGCTCGGCAGTGTGCGCGAGGCATGTGGCAATGCCACAGCATGAATCAAATGCGCTTGCGTTCAGGAATCTCGAGGCCTTCTCCAGTCCAACGTGATGCCATTCCTGCAGCTTTATCAGGGCAAGATCTTGTGGGTGTCGCTGCCACTGGCAGTGGGAAGTTTCTCGGCTCTTTCAAAAGTAGGCGCAAGGCGACCGCGACATGCTGACTTCCGGCTATTTCCTTTGAGGACCCTGGCATACTTGCTGCCGCTGCTCCTTCGTATCCTCTCTGCGGGCACTCCAACCGGTGCATTTGGTCTCGTACTCCTTCCGACGCGCGCCGCTCGCCCTGTGTTTGGAAGTTGCCCTGGCCTCCGACGTATGTGCGAATGCTGTAATCTCTTCAAGGAGCTGGCACTTCAAGTGGCCGCATGTGCCGAATCATTGATCGGCCCTGGCGAGCAGGACGGGGTGTGTTATGCCGCTGGGGTCGGTAGCCCTGCTATATCTGTGAAACCCAATCTGGAAGGTTTTGGTTTGGCCTCCAGCACGGCACTTTTCGTGTAAAGTCAAGCTTGGTTCTCATAGCTCCAGGACGAACTTGGCCAGACTTGTTCCGGTGGCGGTGGCGTCGACATTGAGAAGAAATGTGGTGACGAATTGTCGCGCCTCGTGTTTGCTGCTGCTTCGCGAGTTGCATGTTGATTTACTCCATGTCGCAGAAGGTAGCTGCAATGTCAGGTCTCGAATCTCTATCGTTTCCATTTGGGGAGGGGCCCCACGATGGGAACAGCAGCATCAGCTGCAGCATGGGAGGAAGTGGCCAGAGTGCCAACTTCCAGGCATGTCACCGGTGGTGCATGAGGGTGCTGCGTTGGCTGTTTCTGGAAGTTGGCTGGTGTCTTGAAGGCCATGCGTGGGTGATTGCTGCCACACCAGGGCGCCTGCTTGATTTGGTTTGTAGTGAGATGGACGAAGGCGTGTCGGGAAGAGCAACATACAGTAGAACTTTGGGAGCCCGTCAGCAATCGCGGGAGGTCGCCACCCATTGCAAAGCGTACGGGTGCTGGTGCTTGATGAGGGCGACAGGAGAGGCCTCTCCGGTTCTGAGCTCGCAGACGCTCGCTGATGCCCGCAGGATGCTGGAAGAGGGTCTGGGAGACCAGCTGGATGCTGTGGTCTGCATGCCCTGATTGACATGGCCCGGCAGCTTCTTCAAGAGTTCTGGGAGACCTGATGCAGATTCGATTTTCTGTGACACATTGGTTTGCAAGATGTTGGACATTTCCGCCTTGGGCCCAACGGCCGGACGGGAGATCTATTCGTAGGATTCCGTAGGATGCACAGTGCCAGGCACGCCGCGCAGCACCGCTGCGCCAGACCCTCTTCTTCTCGGCGACATGGTGTGAAGACAAGGTACAAGTGCCAGCACTGTGTGCAAGGTTTCTTGTTCCTTCGGTATTGACCCTCGTCGTTTGACAGCTTCAATGCGTCACGGGTTTGCATGTGAAAGGTCGGGAAACAAGCCGCTTGTTTTTGCCGACAAATTCCGGTCACCACCTCAGCTCGGAAACATGTTCTGCACAAGGCCGTTTCATGCCGTTTCGCTTCCAATTGCACTGGTCTTTTGCAAGGCCATCCTACGAATTGGGTCAGGCCAGGAAGGGCGTTTGTGGTTGGCGGGGGGTCTAGGGTGGCAGCTCCGGGTCACTGGGTGCAGTGCCCGATGTGTGAAGACATAGATGCATTCGTTTCAGTCTCAGCTCCTGCCTACCTTTGGCTGCCCGGTTGTCTGCACTCGAACGCCAGGTGAGTCAGCTGAAGATTCGTTGAGGCAGAGTGCTCTGGCAAACAGGACTTTCAGTGCGTCCTCCATTTTTTCCTCCTGTGTGGAACCTCTGCGAGGAACATTCATCAGATCGTCGAGGTGTTCGATGCTGAAGAGTCGGAGGACACATGGTTGGAAGCATGGGATGCTAGCATGTGCAGGCCTAGTCCATCGGAGCTTTGCAGGAAGAGCGAGAAGAGCGGAAGCTGTCTCGGCTTCTTGAGCTTCTGAGAGTCCTGGCTGTCTACAGACAATCCGAGATTGTTGGGCTTCAGCGGCAGGAGTGATCGTCCAGCTCAGGACTCGAATTGTTTACCTCGGACAAGGCGCGGCCTTCAGTGGCCTAAGTGCAGCGCACTCGTGGGCAGAGTCAAACAAGCCACGCAGCACGATGAAGCTGCGAGGGCCGATGGCCCACTGGGCTTTCTCGAGCGGAAAGCTTGAAAGTTCCGCAATGCCGCAATGCTTCATATGTGGTCCAACCATGGAAAGAGAGTTTTCGTCCAGGCAGAGGGTGGGGTTTCTTGACATTGAAATTGCAGAACGACGATTGTACCTAGCATGGCCTGGTGACCTGTTGATCGCCCTTTTGAAGCTCGGGTTCACCGATCTGCTACGAGCAGATGCAGATGGCAGGCCTGCCCAGGTTGGCCCCCGGTGGGCAGGGGACAGAGCAGGCCGACGAGCTCCGATCCCTAAAGACAAAGGAAAATTCCGCTTGTCATCCTGTAGCTGGAGTAGCTGGAGTCTCGGTACGCCGCCAGTATGAGCCAACTGAATCTTGAGACGGGCCCAGAGGTTTTTCGGGGCTATGCGGCTGACAGGTCGACAAAGGCGAGGACAGTGAGAGTCTTCAAAAGGCTCTCGTATTTTGCATGACGAAGAAGTTTGCAGAGTCTCGGAGGCTTTAGCATTGGTTTGATGCAAGGACGATGTTGTCATGACCTTTATGTTGTGACCGCATCGACAAGCTCAAAGCTCAAGCGTTTCACTTGTTTTTGCCGGTGCCAACTCATTTCCACGTGAGCATGTCTAGCAGAGGATGCTTTGGTGGCGAAGCTCAGCGCATCGGGCTGCTTTGATCGAGCTTACAGTTCGGCTGGCAGATTTGTCTCAACAATCCCCAAGCAAAAGCAGGTTTCATGCTGTGTTTGCAAAGATGATAGCGGTAGCCGAATTTCTCAGGCTGTGTTGCCGTGGCCGTCCACGGCAACAAGACGCAGACAGACCCTCGTCACTGTTTTCTGAGGTGTTCCACACTGAAGCTCGAAATACTTTCGATGGCATCTCGCACTGATTATCTGATTTCGGTAGCGATAGGCTGTATCAGAGCTGCGTGCATTAGCTGTAGTTTCAGAGTTCTCATCTTACAGGTTTGTGTGCGCCGAGTTGCTGCCCCATGTTACTGCTTAAATTCCATGCCTGCGTGCACGCACGTGTGTCTGTATGTGTGCGTGCGAGGTTACGTTGAAAGAAGGCCTTTCTCATGTTGCATTAGATGACAACAGTTCATACTGATTCTGAACTGCTCTCGCATCCAGTGTTCCTCAATCCGGTGACGGGCGCCTGCACAGGCCATCGTTGCCTCATAGGAAGCAGAAAGATAGAGACATCGAGCTCAACCAAGCAAAACATTAAAGGGAGCTAGACTAGACAGACACAGACACCAAGCACAACTCTAAGGAGAGCTAGAAAGACAGAGACAGCATAAACGCACAGACACACAGAGACAGAAAAATAAAGACAGGAACAATGGCGAGGGGAAGAGACAGCCAGAAACCGTCCCACAAATTGCACATGAAAGAAACTCGACACTCGACGGTTTCTCATTTTGAAAGATCAGCCATGTTGCTGCCTCAGCTCCAGTTACCAAAGGAGCGCCTGCAGAACCTGGCCGCTTTCGCAAGTGCCACCTTGCAGCTCGGCAGGTCACCATCGAATTGCAGGAAGGGAAAGATGTCGTTGCTGTCATCAGTGTATTTTCTACGGTAGTTCCTTTGCTACGGAACATGATGGAACTCACATCGCAACTGAAGCTGCTGCGGTGGCCCGCACAATCCTCAGGCAGGCCCCTCGCATTCTGGTGGCGACAGATGTACTGGGCCGCGGGATCGATCTTCCCAATGTGCTGCTTGGCTGACAGAAGCGCAAAGCCGCAAAGCTCGATGCTTTGCGACACTGCTGTTGCAGTTGGTCCCAAAACCTTCTCAGAAACTTGGCTTCCAAGGACACACGTCTTCGTCTACGACATGCCAGGCTGCATCGAGGATTATGTGCACCGCATCGGACGCACAGCGCGAGGCTTGGATGGCCAGGCGCTGTGAGCAGCCCTAAACCCTAAGCCTCACATGTGAGACCCATCTATGCGAGCGTATACTGCCTTGTGTGTGGGTTGGCTTCTAGACTCCGACCAGGGCAAGTCCATCACCTTCTTTGAATTTACGCCCTGCGTGCCAAAACTTGCAGAGGAGCATTCGGCGAAATGCAAGTGATCGGTGTCAGATATCTCCCCGAGCGAATCACAGTAAAGTGTGCACTTCAGTAGTTTCAGGCCCAAGATATTCGGAAACCAAAGCATCCGGCACGGTGACCAGCGTGACCAAACTACGAACAGCGCAGGCAAGCAGACTAGGAAGAATGTGTGAACAGGAATTTTAACTACAACAGGCCGGAAAAGGGTTCTGTGGCGGCATGCAGGTTTGAAGCCTCACTCCAAAGTAGAGATTTCGGTAGCCCGAAAGGAGTAGGGGCTGGTGAGTTGAAGATTCGGCGTTGCACAGTTGCGCATGAGAGCACGATAGCTGCTGGGAAGGGCAGGCAATGCTCCGAAGTTTTGCAGCCATTCCTTGATTGGACCCGAGCATGGATGAATTTAAGTCGTAGGCATACCGCGGAAGGAGCTGGCTCATCATCTGGCTGACACTGCGCAGCACATTCCCGTGGAGCTGAAGCGAATAGTGGAGGCCGATTCACAGAGATGAGATTCGCGAGCAGCTTGCGAGCATCATGTGTGCAGACAGGAAGTTGCATCTGGAAGCCGAGCTCCGGGGAAGAAACCCCGGACCAGCCAGGCCAGATGAGTTAGGCTCACGATTTCACTTTGCTGCAGCGTGCAAGACGGAATATCTGTGCCAAGGGTGAGACGAACGAGCAGCAGACAGCCGGTACCTTCGGACGCACTTGTCGTGCAGTTGAACTACCAAGAATGAAAGATTGATCTCCACCGAGGTAAGATGGTTGTAGGTGGTGGATCCAAGGGGGTGGGATCCACTAGCCTGGTTTGGGTATAGTTGGGGTTCGCAGAAGGGGACGAGCTTGGATGCAACCTGCAGAGCAGTGGAAGCTTCTGTAATTAAGGTTTTCGCGCGGATCTGGCCACGCCAGAAGAGCTTGGTGACTGGAACGCTGGTGGCTATCGGCTCTTCAGCTTTTAGAGATCCGAGTTTGGTACAGTAGAACAGCTTCGCTGTCGCTTCCAGTGTTGCTCTGCTGGGTGATAGGGAAGCGAGACGTACACAGTCAGATGTAGCGATAGATTGTTGTTTCCTGCCCTGTTTCATCAGAAGCTTAGATCCTGGATGATCGTGGCGTGGCATCACTTCAGAAGTTACGTGCTTTGTGGAACAGGTGCTTTGGCGCCGCTTAATGTTGAAATCGAGCCTTCATAGTGTTCCGAGGAAATGAATGCGCTGAGCGCGCGAGAGAGCAAGGCACAGGTTGGAGCTGGACTTTGTCTGCATCAGCGCTGTATGTGTTCCCCACTGCATTGCCAGGACACCGGCTGGCTGGTGTTTGGCAGTGCAGGTGTCCTGCACACCGACCGCGGCCCCGGTTGCTGGAAGTTGGAGGAGGCATTACGAGAGACTTCAGCAGAGTTTACAACCGCTGCAAGCTTAGCTCAGATTCCCTTTGAGGCCGCAAAATGTAGCTGTAGCATAGGAATGCTGAGCAAGTCTAGTAGATGCATGTAGGTACATTGACATGTCGTGCATGTGTAGAACAAATATGTATGTATATCAAAATCATTTTTAATATTAAGACTAATATTCATATATATATATATCTATATACATACATCTTTATCTATATATATATGTATATATATATATATGTAATCATGTATGTGTGTGTAGAGATATATACACGCATATGGACACATAGTACATTATATATATATATGCATGCATTTACTCTTTTATGCATGGCATCCAGACGGTGTCTATAGTGTTTGTACTTTCCATATTGTCCATGTTTGCAGTCCAACATTTGTACACACACACACATACACACAAACACGGACATCATCTTTGTCTTATTGTCCTCTCACTTTATGACTTGCTGGCTTGCTTGCTTGCTTGCTTGGTTTCTAGCCAGCTAGCTAGCTTGCTTGTCTGTACGTACATACAGACTGACTAACACTGACTGACTGACTCACTCACTCGCCCACTCACTCACTTACGGACTGACTTACTTACCTCCTTACTCGCCTGCTTACTTGCTTACTTACATGCTTACTTGCCCGTGACTTACATACTATAAACAATGAAATGTGCAAATACACAAGCAACTGAATGCACGTATGTACGAATGTACTAACTTTACGTAGTGAACAACTTAAGGCAGCAGTTAAGTGAGTCCGAGCCTACTACACAAGCACATCACGTACGTTCATCAAAGAATTGATCAAAATAGGTGATCAGCAACATGGGTACTGATGCAGTATGTATGTATGTATGCATCTGTATGTGTATGTAAGTATGTATGTATGTATGGATGGATGGATGGATGGATGGATAATTATGGATGCCTGCCAACCTGTTATGCCGGCCTGCCTGCCTGCCTGCCTGTGTGCGTGCGTGCATGCATGCATGCGTGTTTGTGCATAGAAAATGCGACATATGTGTACGTACACACATATTCCTACATAGCCTACATGATTGCCTACATGTGTACGTAAGAACGCGTGTCGGTGCACACTCTTGCTCAAGCCCTTGCTCAGCTTGAAAGATAAGCACCGCTTGCCACTGACCAGGAGCACATGCTTGTGAACTTCGGGACCTTGGAGCTCCGCCTTACTCTTCGCAAGACCTGGAATGGGAGGAGGCATTGCAATTTCCTTGTCGAGGTGACTCGGAGATTTCAGGGTTTTGCTTTGATATTGATTCTCCTTTCTCTCTTCGTGCAAGACCCCTTGGTAACATGGTATCTCAGCCTTGTTTTGTCACCGCGAGTTGGATTTGGCGACCTGTTTCTACATGCAGGCAAGTCTCCATGTTTGCATTCATAGGTGCACATAGCCCTCCTAGAGACCTCCCATCTGAGCCGCAAGCTGCAGTGCCATGCCCAAGGACAACAATCTTATGGCTGGGGGTCTTTCCTTGAGTGGATGGGTGCAGAAGACGAAGAACTACAAGTTCCAGGCTGGGAAAGTTCAGAGATGAGGGTCGTCATTGTGTGTGGTTCGGAGGTGCATGAGCTTCGCGAGCATGCCTTGGACTGTCGCACGTTCTCTGATTGTTTGTTTGCAAATCGGCTGCCGCTAAACCCGTAGTGCTACTCGGAGGAAGCACGTGTTGCGCCAGAAGTCTCGCATAGTCCTGCCGCATGTTGCATGTTAAGGTGAAGAGTCACGAGTCACGAGGTATGATCCGCAGTGCCACTCCATGCTGCAGACAAACCCACCACCTTCTTTACGTCCACCCGCTCATACCGCTTCTCTACGACAGGAGCCGAACCGTTCTCCAGACTGACCATGGCGCAGCTGTGATCAGCTCGGGAGAGACGAAGATGCTCGATGTGCTGTTGCACCACGTGAAAAGGCAAAAAATCAGCTCGCGGCTAGTGCTTTCGACTTGCTGCCGCTTCGGTCGCTGGAGCACACGTGCCATTCTTTTGGAAGAACGGTTTCATGAGGTTCTCCGTCAGCCATGCCCGAAAGTCAGGCTGGTGCCGCTGTCAGTAGTCGGGTCGAGACCATGCACAAGGCTGGCTCCAGTGCTCATGCGCCGACGTAGTTGTGGTACCTTGCTAAGTGGATCCAACCCTCTGTGTCAGGCCGTGGCTCCGCAAGCAGCGCGGCTTGTGACCACGACCATGCTAGCACATCCTGCACATCCTGCGCAACCTACACACCCTGCACATGCTGCGCACACTGCACACTCGCAGCTGCGAGCCGAGAAGGAGCGGCTCTCGCGTGTTTGGTAGGATGTGTCGGTCCTGTCGATTCGTGAGGAGCTGCTTGCCGAAGAAGCGTCGGAGGCACGTCACCTGCATTCCTCTTGCATCAGCTAGAACCTAAACTTGAACATGCCTGCCACCGACTCCTCGAAATCCCGGGAAACACAATAATAATCGAGCGGGAATCCATGCCGTCATTATATTTCCTGTCGGCTCCTCCACCCTGCCAGGAAGCAGTAATGCTGGAATGGGAAGCCGCTTCTCCATCATTACTCTGACGATTATTATTGAAATGTTTGGTTCTTATATTATTATTTCTGTTCCCTTGCCCCTCTTCGTAAGCTCTTGTTGAACGCTACGAAGTCGCTGACAGCTTCTGATTCAATCGTCTCTTGAAAGGACCAATGGAAGGTACCCTTTCATGGTGCTTTTTGGCTCCAAATCCTGCAGCAGGCAAAAGCCGAAAGTGCAGCTCTGCGCGGACAGCTTAAGACCTTGGAGGCCCGTCATCAGCACTGCCATCGGAAAAAGCACGAGCATTCTGCTCTAGCATCTCTACTTTCCATATCTCAACAAAGCTATTTTTCGGCTTTGCATCCAGGTGTACTCATGGGTTGTTCGCCTGAAGTGGTTTGCTGGACTTGTCTCGTTTCTTGAAAGTCTTAGAGTGAAGCAGCATGAACCTGTCAGGCTCGCTGTGAAAAGCAAGCTTTGCAGGCCTTGAGTACCTCCACGACTCGAGATGCTGCATTATGTTGCGCACTAGCATGCTGCCTCAACCTGTTCACAACAGGTCGCAGAGCTCTCGCTTGAGCCTGCGCAAATCGTGATATCCTCGGTCAAATCTGCCCAGGGTACGCTTCTACCCTGGGGTCGTAACAACATGGACAGTCAGGCTCCAGGATTGTGTCTCCGGGCCCATTTGATGGAGCTATATGAGCCCTTTGAAATGCTGAGCACATCGCACATCTTTTCGCAAGAAGATTTCATGATTGCCCAGGTGCGGCGCTTGCAGGGCGAGGTGGCCTTCCTGGAAAATCGAGTCCTAGAGCAGCAGGCACGCAGAGATGAGCATCAACGAGCGATCATAGACGTACTCTGTGTTGGGGATCGTTGCGGCATGACGGCGCTTTCATGCACTAAAGTGCAGGCGGCGCTAGAGGTTGGTGCCAAGAAAGCCGAGCTGACCTTGCGTGCCGAGCTTGACGTGAAAAGCCATGAGGCCAGCCGAGGTCGAAGCACAGCCGGGAAGCAAAGTTCTTGGGATCCAGACGAGGAGGGCAAAAGATAGTTTGGGTCCTCTGCACGATAGAGGCATAGCCTGCCGTAAACTCCAGTGAGCGATGCCTGCTGTCTTTTGCAGCCGCTGTTCTTCTTTTTCTGGCATGCAGGTTCTCACTCTGCGGCGGACGATGGAAGCTCGGGAAAATGAGGTACTGTAGCTGGCTGCATGCTGCTTCAGCCACGGGTGACTTTTGATCAACTTGCTTTGGCATTCCGAATTGTCGATGGTTTTCTCTTGACCGGATCTCAGACTTATGACGTCGTCCTTGAAGGTCCGTAGGTACCAGCAAGAGTTGGAAGCGATCATTGCTGAGCTTTCAGCAGCTTGGCAGCTTTCAGGACAAGAGCCAGGATTGTGATTCCAATCAGCATCCTCTCCGAACCTCCCAAACGAAGTGAGGTGCTTCGCGGTAGCTGATGTGCGAGGATGTCGCCAGCTGAGCAACACGTTATTTTGTAAGACAAATGTGGAAAGCCCCATGTCCAACTCCCAATTTCTGGATATTTCGAGCTTCAATTCTCCGATTCCATCTTCTATGCTTAGGTGAGATCCGGAGGTCAATCCCAACGATGTGTACCTCACGCGAGGTGCCGGCATGTTGCAAACCTACCGATGATGGTTTTCAGAATGCTTCGGCCAGGATTGGCCGAGCTTTGCCGTGAGTTGCTCTGTCCTTACCTGTACAGTGGACGGAGCAACCGGCAGCTGATAGCGAGCCGCATCGGTCGGTTGTGATCGAGGAGGCTCAGGGGCCTGGGTCTGCCAATCTGCACACATTCACGATTGCACAGGGGAGTCTTGGGGTTCACATGTGCGCGCGGCAGTCACTGAACATCGCGCTCGAAAATGCAGTCTGCCCTGAAAGTTGCCAGTGCATTCCTTGTGATGCACTGTCCACACAGGCTCCGACAAGTTTAAAGCATCCTAGCTATTTCTAATGTTGCCTCAGGCTAGGAGTTCTTGCCGATGTCAGAGAGGTCAAGAAGCAGGTTGTTTCAGGACAGATGGTGTGTCGTGGTACATCTGTCACCTTGTCCTGTCACCGCATGTGAGTCAATCAAAGGAGTGGGTGCAATCGGCAAGGGATTGTAAGCGCAATAACTAGGAAGATTTGGAAGTCTTTTGTTTAGTTGGTCCGTAAGCGCAAGAGTCAGCATTGCACTCATAGACCAAGTTACTTCAAACAGACGGTTCTTGTTAGCTGCTTTCTTGTTGAGACGGCAGAATACCCTTGTTCGTGACAATTACCAGATCCGGCAGGGTTATTGCATATCCGGCATCTCAGCACGAACATAACTCTTGCAACTCCCCGTCCAAGCGTGTTGGCTGGTAACAGGCCCATGAAGCACTTCGGTGCAAGCTCGTACAGCATTCAATGTGTTTTTTCCACAGACAGGCTTGCCCTGGAGTCGCAGAGGGTTCAACATGTTGATGTCGTCAAGGGAGGAAACAGGTGCCAGCAACTTTCGGGGCGTTGTCTTATGAGCGACTTAGGTCGTGTTCAGGAGTGCACGATGTAAGAGCAAGCTTCGTAAGAGCTGGTAAGCAACTGGTAAGGAAGGGTCGGGCCTCCTCCTCATCCTCCATCTCCTCCTTGTCCTCCTCCTCCCCGTGCTTCTCCTCCTCATCCCTGTTCCTCTCCTCCCCCCTCTTCTGCTTCTCTTCGTCCTCCCAGCAAAGCGCAGCCACTTACGAGACACGAGCCATTTGCGAGGCCCTCACCAAGCACTCACGAGGCACTCCTCTCCCTTTCTCCCTCTCTCTATCTTTGTCTACGTCAACACATGCCAGCAACCAAGCTGCTTGCGACCGAATTGGGCGGCTGTGACAACAGGAAGAATTGACCCAAGCATAGTTTCAGACGCTAGCCGCTCAAGCAGAAGTTTTGGAGCGTGGCACACATTCGGAAGAGCAAGTTGCCGGTTCGCTTGCTCAAAGTATTGTGCTGTGTGGACCACCCCAGTCGTAGCATACAGCGCTAGAACCTCCACCCCTGCCAAGAAACTTTGTGCGACCTGTGACTTCTGCCTAACCAGCGAACGCTTGATATCTGGTAAGACTCAGTTTCGTCCGCGTTACATGCTTGCAACTCCATGGTTTATGAGACCAGCGATGCCATGGCCATGGCGAAGGGGGCCCTTCGTTAATCGGATGCCCGGCAGCTTGACATGCAGGCCCTGGCCCTGACATGGCCCTGGCCGCCCTGGCCCCTGGCACTGGGGCCATTTGAGCGGATGCAAGAAAAACGATGCTTTCTGGGGAGGCTTCAGCACCATGGCCAGCAGGTACTGTGGCCGCGGCCTCGGCTGAGTATGGGTGAGCCTGAACAAGCCGGCTCCACAAAGCCTCTGGCGCTCTCTGCAGCTCTGAGGCAGTCGCAGAGCCGGTGTGCCGGATTTGTGGAGTACCGTCAGGTCAGCTGCCAAGACTTGATGGCGTCTCTCGTGAGTACACTGCAGGTAGGAACAAGCTGTAAGCTGCCTTGGCGGCGGTGAAGGCTTTGTCCACCTGGCCGGCCCTTGCTTCATTGTTAGCACGATGCATCGTGGATCGCATGGCCTAGAGCGCTCACAGAGCGGCACACTCCTTGCCGCGAGCCCGACCGAGTCGGCAGCGGCGCTTTGCCCCTGCCAATCACTGTCCGCCTGCCCTGACCTCCAAGTGGTGGGTATTCGCGCACTGCGCCCACCGATGTCCTCCACCTGGTGAGTACACCATGGCTTTCTGCCTCCTGTCGCGGTCATGGACACGTCGTTTGGTGGGCGACATTGCAGGTGACAGAATCTGCCATTGCCTGCCCATTGGTTCAGGGTTCGGTTTTGTCTTCATTGACGTCGTGTGTGGTCTATGCAACTGCGCCCGGCAAGGAGAACATGCCAACATCTACTGCCAGAAGTCCCCGAAATTGAAGTGCATGGGGTACTGGACAATCCGAGAAGGGTTGCAGCTCGCACCGCGCGGTTTCCTCTGCTCAAAGTCCTTTCGCGATATCTCTGCTCCGAGCCGCCCGATTCTGAGACCATAGGAAGCCTTTGTAAGTTTCTACGATGTTGACATCCGCCCTCGCTATCAATTGTTAAGTGTTAAGGATGATCGCGTTGGACAGTGGCGAGTCCGGGTGGGAACCCCTTGTTCGCAAGACAACATACCTTGTGAGATTTCGAGTGAATCCGAGCCTGTAGCTTGCGTCCATTTCCTTGTACCCGAAACATCAACTCTGAACTCCGCTGATTCCAGGCGCCAGGGACATTTCAGCGTTGTGCAGCTTGTCCATGGTTTTTTCTGCCTTAGCGGGAGACTTTGAGTTCCAAGGTGCCGCCTGCAGATGGCTGGCTACTTAGAGTCAGACATAGAGCTCAGCATCGTGCAAACTTTGTCGATCACTGCTGATGTGGTTTGTAGCCTTGCCGAGAGCCGAATCGAAGCATTCCAAAAGGTGTGGCCATGCAGATCCCGACTTATCTTGCAGACGGAGACAACAAGATGTAACGAATCAGAACAATGCAGTGTGCATGCCGAACGCTTCCACTGAGGGAGCGGGATTAGTTACAAGGTGGGGGCATGGCGCCTTCTCACGTATGAGACCGAGAAATCGAGCAGAGGTCCGGTAGTTTCGGACTGAGGTCCAATTCCATCATTGTCTCTCCGCGACCCTTGGTCACACCCTCAAAGCTAAGGCTTAGCTGCTAAGCAAAGGCAGAGAAAGGGCATGGCACACTATACCATTTAGTGCCACTTTAGGCTGCTGTCTGTCCTCTCTGCCGCGGACGGGCTGGTACCTCAGGGCTGCACACATGGCATCAGAAGCTCGGTTTCGGTTTTGGTTTCGAGTGGCGTCTTTGCATCTCGTGGACCTGCCTAGCGCTGGCTACCGTCCCAGTAGCGAGCTGCGCTGGGTCTTCACTCATCATGGAAGGGTGCAGCATTTCTTCCAGGACTTGACCAGATACCGCGCGAGCCTCTGCGAAGCTGAGATGGCGATAAAAACGTCATGCAGAACACTCAAAGGAGTGGGCTTTTGGTACCTTCCAACTCAAAACGGACGGTTTGGAGCAAGTGTGAGTTTAAACTCGAGTTGGAGAGCATCACATAGCAACACCGCCTGAACATACTTGAGCTTCGTGTACCACATGCTGCGCCACACATAGCTCTCATGGTCTCAGGCACCCTCGGTTCCAGCGCAGCGGGTGACGCCGAGAGCACCGGTGATGTGACCCGGGCAATGCTTCAAGCGTTTGTCTTTACACTTTGCGGGTTTTGGCCGCGGCCGAGCGCGAGCATGATTGGCGGGGCCCGGAAGAGACGCTCTCACGACAACTGCTTCGTGGCAGGCTGCGCATAAGCAGCGCAAAGACTTTGGAGCCAGGCGTCGGGCGTCTCTAGCGCGGCCTTTCACAAGTTGCCTCCTGCCTTAGGTATGTGCGCAAAGCTTAGGCTCGCACTTCATCGTTGCGTCGTAAAGGACCTTGTCTTGGATTTAGTGTTTCACCAGCTCTGTCATTAAGCAAGTAACAGACTCAGACAGAGTCAGACGCACTCAACGGATCTTCCCATTTCATTCATCACTGAGAGTAGACAGTAGTAGACTGTGGCTCGGGCAACATGGAGCTGTCGGGTCGACCGAAAGCTTGAGTGTCAACTTCAACAAAGCCTGTCCCTGGTCAGGCATGGCCTCCGCGCCCGTCGCCTGCGCCTCCAGAAAAAGTATCAGTCCCGCAAGCGTGGCATGTCTGAATAGAGAGAGAGAGAGAGACACGTGCAGTGCTACATTGATGCTACAGTATATCCTCGTAAAGTGTCGAGTTCCATTGATTCAGAAGTATGGAGGAAGAGTGGGCTCGCTTCGCGTTTGACTTGTCGACCTCGCTTGTCGCTCGAGGTAACAAGCTCTACACTCGTGCGGCCAGCAAGCGCAGTCACCGTGCAGAGATGTGTCCGCAGCATTAGCAACTTGATGGCAGTAGTGTGTCGCAGTCAATCATGACCAATCTACCGTGTCCGCGAATGCAACGCATTTCTCAGGGGTCATGATGGGTCATGGCTTGTCTCCGACATCGAAATCTTCCAAGTCTGAGCCAGCGCCAGGTCCGAATTCGAGGCCTGTCCTGCAGGCGCAGGCACCGTCACGAGGGTGTAATGCACAGTGTCACAGCAGCGATTGAAGAGTACAGAGCATCGAAATTTGAGTTGGAAGCTTCGCCTTTGCAGCCCCTGCTGGGAGACTCTCAGACTGAAAGGCCATGAGCGGACTCAGCGAGGCTGCAGGCAAAGCCAGCATGAGCTTCGTATCCTGCTAAACGCCTAGTCGACGCCCGTCTTGAGAACATCCATGCCTCATGCCGTCTGCTGTTTGCAGTGTCAGACCTGCTGGTGTTGTTATAACAATTGCTTAGCGTGATCGGCGGGAAAAACCTTGATCCGTGGCCATTCTGGATCAAGGATCACACCCGAATTTTTGAGAAGGGGTGATTCAGCAAGAGGTGGGCAGGGGTTTATGGACCTGGTGGTCGTTCCTGAATCTTTTGAGTTGGTTTCCTCCTCAGGAGGGCCGCTCGGGATTTGGCAGCCTCAAGGGACCGGACCTCCTGCTCTTAGCTGTGTGCTTTTGCATTTGGGCCTTGGGACTTCTGGTGCGGGTGGCGATCCGTTTGGAGAGCTCCGGAGCGGACCCGGCTCGGCAAGCCCCACCATGCCCCACAGACCATCAACTTGAGCCGCGGACGCGGAGGGTGTCTGTGGCCTTCTCCCACGGACATCCCACGGACATCCACACTGGCCCCACAGGGTCCAGCTCTACCAGGCCACGAAGACGGCTTCACCAATTTGGGTTTTCACATAAGCCCGGCAAGGCCGATTGGAGGCCGCTCTTCGGCCGGCTTTGGGCGATCCCGCTAGGCTTCGAGAAAATCGCCCTCAAGATGCCGGAGATGGGGCACCAGGAGCAGTTCGACGCCTCACCTTGGTGGAAGCAGCAAGAGTGGAATCAAAAAAAAGTGTGCGTTTGTTGCTCCAGCTGGAGCTCACGGCCCTTTCGGCGACAGAGGTACGGGTTCCCTCCAGAGGCGGATCCTTCCGCCAGCTAGCTGGCCTCTTTGAAGCAGGTTGTTGCTTCAGGGTCGGCGCCTTATGCCGATTTCAGCCTCTTCGGCCCTCAGAACCTTCAGCTTCTCATGAAGCAAGCCTTTACTTCGCACCAGCTCAAGGGTACAGGGTAATGGACCAAGCGCTTTCCAGTCCTGCGGAACTCTTTGCTCCTCCTCCCGGTCGCCGATGCAAAGAGGTCGGACGGACGCCTCTGCCGAGCACGTCCGGGGCTACGGGGCTATGTGACCCCGTTCGGCGACCACGCTTGGTGGCTGGTCTACAAGGCCGAAAACAGGCTCCGTTGCCGGCACATGGAGCTCCTTCGCCGCATCCTTCACTTCGCTGCTGCCATCCGAGATTCCGAGTTTTGGACCCACGAGATGGTGACACCGGCACCGTTGTGACTGTCGCAGCAACGGGCGCTGGCCAGCTCGAGCCAAGGCGGAGGTTGAGGCGGTGCCAACACTGGTCCCATCAAAAGAGGGCACGAGGACCAAGAGGAGGGACCGGTTCGCAAGAAACAAAAGAAGCAGCGGAAGTATGAGGGGGACGAACTCAGCGAAAAGAAGGGCAAACGCCTACGTCCTCAACAGGCGAGGTGCTCGCGTATGTGAGGGACACCGTGGAAAGTGCGGATCCCAAAAGCCGCAAGGACGATGCAAAGATACATGCTCCCACCAGTGCAACTTGTGTTTGAGACCGCATCAGGCCTTGCAGCGTCCGAAGTCCTGACAGGATGCCCCTGACCCGGGCTTCTGCCTGGCCCCCCGGGCCGGGGCCCATACTTGGCATCACCTACTCTGACGGTCAAGCCGAGAGACCATCGACGAGACCGCCCACGCCAAGTCTAAGCCGCCGAAGAGCCCCGACGCTGGGCTCTGGCGATCTTCTCTGGCCGACACCGCAAGCGTCAGCTAGTCCTCAGACACGTCATCAAAGAGTAGTTCTTAAACGCTTTGCGACCGCCTCAGCATGTGGGATCTCGTTTTGGTCGTTGGTGTCAAAGTCAGGTGGGTGTGATCCCGGCTTTTCGAGCGAGTAGCACGAGACGCGATCTTACGACCAACGGATTGAAAACAGAAAGAGAGCGAGATCGCGCAGCTGATATTTGTTAATGGCGGTTGTTTGAGGAGCGGGTAGGCAACTTTCGTGTCAAACAGAAGCCTGCTGGTGTTGTTTGAAAAAATACCTTGATCCGTGGCCATTTTGGGTCAAGGATCACACCTGAATTTTGACCCACCCGCCCGCTCCCGGGTGTGATCCCTGCTCGCTTGAGTTTTCGTATTTTCGATCGATTAGCAAGAGACGCGACTTTACGACCACCAACGGATTGAAAAGAGAGAAATCGCGCAGCTGATGTTTGTCAATGGCTGTGGTTTGGGGTAGGCAATTGTCACATTTCGCACCTTGAATAAGTGGTCCAAAAGATATGAGTGCTTGCCTCTTAAAGTTGAACCCTAACTAATGTGAATGATCAGCGCCCGCCACGGTCAGCATGGGACTGATCTGTATGTGTTGCCATCGCTTACCATTCCTCAAGTCGCAGGTCCAGTGAACGAGGAACGAGCTGGTGCTGGCAGCGAGGCAACACGTGTGGTGGAAGTCTCCAACGACGAGGCCCTTGGCGCCTCGGCCCTTGGCCAGAGGCCTCCGAGCACCGGGCAAAGTTCCTGGAGGCACCCCAGCCGGCCATGCGAGTCTATCCGACTGTCCGAATCAAGTTGTCAGACCAGGACACAGGTGGCCGACTCCAAAACCCGTTCGCAGTCTGCAGCCTCCACTACAGCCGCAGCCTCATCAAGTATTATGAGCAAGCTTGATGTGGGCTGGGTGCCAGGAGTTGCCAAGCAGGGAACTGAAGAGCACTGCGCTGGAGTGCCTCGCTATGCAAATATCTCAAGTGCCAAGCCGCTTGCAGAGATCCTCGACAGTCGCACAGCGAGCCGACCGAAAGAGAGACCGACACTCCAAGCATCCGTCTGGAACACCAGCCTCTCGTCGTTTGCAATGCCTGCAAGGAGTGCGGTCTTGTTGAGCGAGTTCGGCAAGACGCTGGAGCAGGTCGCATTGTGACGAAATCCGAGTTGTTGGGACACGCAGCCCTACCAGTAGCGCGCGATCAATCTTGAGCAGGGTTCTCCGAGTGTTGTTTGCTGAGCACCTCCATGCAATGGACTGATGTGACAGTTATGACTGTGACGGAGATGGGTTGCTTGCTTATCGATTGCCCGCTTCGCGGGGGGTGGGGGAGGATGGCGGGGCCAGTTTGCGTCCCAGTTCAAGTAGGAGTGTGTAATAGTGTGTACCAATCAATATCCGACAAGTCATTGTTTGGCAAAACATGGACAACGGCAACAAAGAACGAGCACTGCTGTTGCATGCAACTATGCAACCACCGGGATAATATGAATCTGTGTATCCTACACGAAGACACCTAATTCCGTCTATTTCACGTGCAGGACGATGCCTGCACAATCCTGCGAGCACAGCTCCCTCACGGATCCATATAACGCAACGCATGATAGCTGATGATGTGGCAGTGGCTGTAATTAGTTGACGCTGTTAAAGTGCTCGGGCCGCAACTACTTTGACGTGCTTGGAATTTGTCCGTTCGTTTGTAAGTATTTTCCTTGCTGCTGTTAAAATAAGGCCTGAGAATTCTCATGTCAAGAGACCTTGCTAAGGTTTTTGCACCCTGAATCCCTCCAAGCAGTAGCCCTGGGCCCTAGACCCCTTCACCCCCGAACCGTCATAAACATCACCGAAATCGCCCTACCCTCCCTTCTAAACCCCGCTAGACCCCGAATCAAAACCACACCCTCCCAAGCATCCTAACCCCATCAAGCTATTCACACTCATTCACACTTTTTAAATTCCCGCTGACCCCTAATGAAACCCAAACCCACCTAAACAGTTCTGTTCGCCTGAACCCTATACTGTAGCATTGCTGCAGTATGATTCTGTACGGCTACAGTTTTCTTCTGCTGTACGGGGGCAGGGGGGCGCTGGGCAAGGCTTATTCAGGATGCCGGTCAAAATTTGGGGCGAAAGTGGCACAGAGCAGATCGGAGCGGCAGCCCATGGCCTGCTCGGTGCACTTGGTCGGCACAAACGGCTTATCGCCGGTATATCTGCACGGACAGCGTTTGTGCATTTCCGTTTCGATAAAGTCAGCCGAGCAGCTTGGCGGTGGGGAGGGTGGAGGTTGGTGCTGGGCAGGAGCCGTAGTTAGTAGTTACTTAGTTCTACACTCTGGTTTACCTTTACTGAGCTAGTGGCACAGGTAGGTGTTCGGCACGGTCAATATGCATGACAAAATAGACTTTGACGCAGTGCGCAGCCGGCATTCAGATGCCTGCTTAGGCGAACCTGCTTTTGCGCCAGACAAACGACTCCGGCCACCTAGCTGCAAGAGATGCCCAAGCAGCATCTTGGGAGCCCAAGCCGACGTCTTGATTCCGCCGACTCTTCCTCCATTGTTTGTTGCGGCTAAGACATTCCTGCGCATCCTGGGCAGGCCGGCCCGGGTGTCTGAGGGCAGCACTCAACAAGCCTTTGTCGACTGACGGACTGACCAGCACCACTTCGCCAGGAAAGCCCGGTTGGCGCTTCGGCGGCTGGACCGCTTCCACCGCCTCACAGTGCTGTCCCCTCTACCAGGTTTCGCGAAGGGCGCATTGCAACATGCATGCTTGCCGATTGTCCGTGTCTTTGGTTTTATTTCTGAAATGGCATCAACATGTAAAGCTATGCGTCCGCGCAAATTTCGCGATGGCTCCACGAAAGGAATCAGAAATTCCAGAAAGTTTCTACATGATACTTGTAGAGAACATACCATGATTCTGCAGGCGTAAAGGTCCCAGGTCCGTTATTGCACAACGCCGCAGCAGGTTCCAGTGAGGTGCCAAAATCAGGTTCCGGTACAGCGACTAGCCTGAAAGTCTGCCGTAAGTTCCACCCTTGCGTCGTTCAAGTAGACATAACCACATCTAGGCAAGGGCTCATTGTGTGCGCTGAGCTCTACTACTACTACTACTACTACTACTACTACTACTACTACTCCTGCTGCTGCTGCTGCTGCTGCTGCTGCTGCTGCTGCTACTACGACTACTACTACCACTACTACTACTACTCCTACTACTACTACTACTACTGCTACTACTACTACTACTACTACTACTACTACTACTCCTGCCTTCCCGGGGCGATGCCGGACCGCTTTTGTTAGAAGCCGTTTGATCATTTTGGTCGTTTGGTCGTTTTGGTAGGTGGCAAAACGACCCGTCCTTTGTGCCGTTTTGCTGTTGCACCGGGTGCAAACGGACTAAGTCGTCTTGCTCAACCTGACACGCAGGGCACAGTGACTGATCATTTTGGTCGTTTTGGACCACTTGCACCACTTGCGGGAGGGTGGTCATTCTGGTCGTTTTGGGCACTTAGGTCATTTAGCTGACTACGAGTTTAGGGTTTAAGGGTTTTGGGGTTTAGGGTTTAGGGTTTAGGGGTAGATGAAAATACTCGTATCAGTATGAGTGTTGCGCGCGTTAGGTTTAGTAGTCAGTTGATTGTAGTATCAGTATTACTCCAAGCGGATCAATTTGATGCGACATACCGCCAGCGCATTCCCATATTGATCATGAGTTTTTCTCCATTCCGACAGCAGACGATATTCGGCAATCACATGCCTCGCACTCCTTGGTGTGGATGGACAACACTCCCCTTTACCGCCAAGTATCAACCGTTGCCAGAAATCGAGCACTTTGGGTATCTGTAGTGCACAAACGAAGCCGCAAAACCCAAAAACCGCATTTGATAGGTCGGTGCAGACGGGTTCAAACTTGAACAATGCGCTCGCAAAAAATAAATCAGTATTGCTGTCTTCCGGCTTTCGTCCGGGGTGCTGCTTTCAGCTTCAGGCAGTACCCCAACACGCCAAGCCGACACTGAGTGGGTCATCATGCGGCCATAGGGGGAACGGCTAATTGTGCCGTTGGCGGAGGAGGCTCCCCCTTGTTTGCCGCCGGTGCGTGTGTGCGTGTGGATGCCAAGTGACCAAATCCAACCCAAGCTGGCTTGGGGGTACTCCCTCTTCCTGGCTTGGGCGGGCCGGGCTCGTGGAGGCTCGGGTGGTGCAGTGAAGCTTGAATTGAAGGGCCCGGCTTGTCGAACTGTTGCCGGAGCCCTAATGACGCCAACGGAAGGGCCGAGATGGCGGCAGGGAACCTGCTGTGCGGCAGAGAGCACCCGTGCCATCCACCACCACCACCACCACCACCACCACCACCACCAGTATTGCTGTCTTGCGAAAAATCCCGCTTCCCCAACAATCCCGTATCTTAAAATTGAGCCCAAATAACGAAGACGGCAGGCCCGAATAGTAAAAGTCCTGCATGACTCAATGGCCTGTCCGACCGCCGAGATCTTCGATTTTTCCCATCCACTGTTTCCGGAAGCGGTTTCATGAGTTGTTTAGTCTAAGCAGTTACGTCGTTCTTCGCAGTGTGCGGCGAGACTTTGTAGAAGCTCCGCACGATTTGACCTCTGTGCTTTGTTTGATTTCGCGTGACAAAGCTTGCAGCGCTCCCGAGTCCCGAGTCATCACATTGTGCCGTGTCTGCAGCAGCTGTGCTTGCGTGTTATGTGACGAGACTTTAAAGAAGCTGCGCAACTTGACTTGTGTGCTTGCTGTTGAGTTTGCGGGTCAGAGCTTGCAGCAGCGCTCCCGAGTCAACAGGTTGTGCCGTGTTTGCAGCGGCTGTCCTTGCGTTTTGTGCGACGAGACTTCGAAGAAGGTGTGGAGCGTCACCTGTTTGCACTATTTGTCTTAGTTCCCGTGACAGAACTTGCAGCGCTCCCGAGTTGCAGCAGCCGTGCTTGCGTGTTGTGCGACGAGACTTTGTGCAGAAGGTGTGGAGCTTCACCTGTTTGCGCTATTTGTTGAGTTCCCGTGACAGAACTTGCAGTGCTCCCGAGTTATGACATTGTGTAGCTTGCGTGTTGTGCGACGAGACTTTGTACAGAAGCTGTGCAGCGTGAGTTGTGTCTGTGTGCCGGCTTTAGTTCGCATGACAGAGCTTGCAGCGCTCCTGCGTCAGCCCGTTGTGCAATGTTGCAGCAGGTGTGCTTGCTTTTTGTGCGACGAATCTTTGTAGAATCGTATAAACTGTGCCGCTTGACCTGTATGCCTTGCTTGATGTCGCGTGACAGAGCTTGCAGCGCCCCCGAGTCATCACGTTGAGCAGTGTTGCAGCAGCTGTGCACGCATGTGGCAGCATGTGTGCGAGGTTCCTTGTTCGGAGCTGTCAGGTAGCAGTATCGAGCTGCTGGCTGCTGGATTGGTGACAATGACGGCGTAGGAATGTGCCTTGGCCCAGCGGTGGTACTACGAGGGGAAGTCGCCGTCCACCACTGCGGAGTTGCTGGACCGCATCACTTCCATGCTGACACGGCTGCTATGCAAGCAGGAGCCAGCCAAAAAGCAGGGTCGACGCTGCGCTTGCTTGGCCAGGTGGACTATCTTGAGCGGATGCTGGTTGAAATGATCGTCAAGGCAGACGGCCAGAAGATGGTCACGGTGGAGGCTTTGCAGAAAGGAGCCAAACCAAAATCGCCGCTCCGGGAAGGGCTACGTGAAGCCGAAGAAGCTGAAGCACTACACAGGGTCAAGGGCGTGCTCTTGCAGGCTTGCAGGTCGGCATTGGCAGCGGCAAAGTCATGGCAGTGCACGAGGTGACTTGCTGGAGAGGGCAGGGAGCTGCCGTGACCTTCTATGAGGCAATGGGTCGTGGGCTGGCCAGGGCATGCATGGCCGCGGAAGCGTAAGTGTACGATCCTGAAGACAATGATCCGACGGGATACAAATCTGCGAAAGGCGCGAAGCTCGAAACCTCATTGTTGCTGCTTCTAGGGTGATTCGCGTCCTTGTGCTCCTTGTGTATGTGACTGTGTCTGTGCGTGTCTGCAGGTCTGGCAGCCAAAGTGCAGGGGAAAATGGACGTGTTGGAGATCCCGAAATGAAGCCTAGACCTCTTGTTGCTAGACGTCCTGGCCTAAATCCAAACCCGAGACACGACATAGCTACGTGCGACGTCTGAAGCTCACGATCCGCAACTTGCCCAAGGAATTTTTGGAAACAGCGCTGGGGACATGGTTCGCCGCTGTCAGAGGCTCCAAGAGGCCCAGGGCAACTTTTTCGAGGAGGGCGGCCATAGCCGGTAAGAATCGCTGTGTGAGGTCCTGCTCAGTGAAACAGCAGTGCCATCGCTGCTGCACGGACGGTCTTGCTTGGAGCTCGGTGGCGTAGGCAGCGCAGTCCGTGCAGGCCATTGACCTAGTCTGTAACCCCCAGAAGTGAATCTTATTGCAGTCATGCAGCCCAGCGAAATCTGAATCCGATAGTGCAGGCTCCATGGCATCGGTGCCGGCGCCTGTTTCTGCTGGCACAGCTGTGTTCGTTTGATGGCCCAAGACCTGCTAGCAAGCTTACCTTTTCAAGAGGGCCCCCAAGAAACTTTGGCATTGTGCACGTGTTGTGCACCGAGAAGCTTGCTACTACTACTACTACTACTACTACTACTGCTACTGCTACTACTACTACTACTACTACTACTACTATCACTACTACTGCTACGACGACTACGACGACTACGACGACGACGACGACGACGACGACTACTACTACTACTACTACTACTACTGCTACGACTACTACTACTGCTACTACTACTACTACTACTACTACTACTATTGCTACTACTA